TGCTGTAGTTCCTTTATAGCCCAACATTAGCCTCCTTTAGCTTAGCGGTGGTGACGTGAAGTCATGTGACCGTGCTGTAGTTCCTTTAAAGCCCAACATTAGCCGCCTTTAGCTTAGCGGTGGTGACGTGAAGTCATGTGACCGTGCTGTAGTTCCTTTATAGCCCAACATTAGCTACCTTTAGCTTAGCGGTGGTGACGTGAAGTCATGTGACCATTCAGTAGTTCCTTTATAGCCCAACGATAGCTTTATACTTCAGAAATCATAAAGTGGTGTTAATAAATGGAGATTATCCTGCTGAACTAAATGTGTAAATACCATAAACGTGTGTTTGCCACAGAGATTATTTCCTGCTATAATCCAAAATTGGGGATATGCTGCCTTCAGGTTCCAACAAAGAAATACAACATCCCTGCATTACTCTATTGGTAAATGTACAGGTGCATATTGCCGTGTGCTGATTTTAATCCCTTAATTAAATGTGCACATTCTTTTGGTCTCCTCTCACTTTATACACAGAGTGTGTGTCATTCAGCTGTGCATCACTCGTCCTCCAAACAAAATACAAATATTAGCATAGCCATCCTCAGATTGAACTGCACCTTCCTCCACAAAGGCTTTAGTAACGCAGCTCTCAGCAGACTGCAGCCAGAGCTTCATTAAATGCTAATGATGCTAACGCTTCACCTTTTGAGACACGGCTCGCAGATAAGGCTGAGGGCGGAGAAATGCCAGCTGATCCTCGCCAGATAAAGACTCATTAAATGCTAATTCCTCCTCACTTACAGCACATTCAGATCTCTATCATTCTGTTGCTGTGTCTGCACTTCTGTGTGACCGCCAGCTCGCTGATTAAAGAGCGATCTGCTTCTTATGTTATTTCCTGTATTTGTTCCCCTTTGAAAAGCTGCCATAAACAACTGGACTCAGATCAGATCAAACTAAAGATGTGTGTTCATGTTCCTCCATTGCTTGATTTCAGATTATTTCTCAAAGGATTTACATTATTCGATCTCTACCGAAGCGTAATAGAGCCAGGTATAACGGTAAAAGTCAGGGGGAACAAAGTATTCAGTTTTTTAAATAATTGCAAAATATAATGTGTATTCTTGACAATTATCATTTTTTATCAACATTTATATTTAATTCTCCAACACCATTTTTTTTCCCCATTTCTTTATTATTTTTGAGTAATTTTTATTTTATTAATACGTTTATTTATTTAATTCTAATAAATGTTTTACCTTTTCATATTTATTTATGTTTGATTTTTTACTTTGCCAGGCATTAATACTTAAATCTTAACCTTATTATAATTTTTTTTTAATCATTCTTAAACCCCACCCCTCCCAAAAAAACCTCCACCTTTTGATTTCTTTTCCTATATCACCTTCTTGACATGCAAACGAAAAACACATAATCATTCAGTTAAGAGTGTACTGTATTGGTTCAGAACGGATTAACAGAGCGTGTCAGCTCGTGTTAAATATTGACCGACTGCTTTCATATGTGTGTGAGAGGTTTGAGTCAGAGAGGGAAATCCTCCTTATTGAATCACAGCGAGGATCCCTGCAGGAAACCCTCTGTGATTCCCATTACTGTACAGGTGGAGATCTGCCCCTCTGAAGGGAAACTCCTGCAGCTGTGTTTGTAGTCAGAAAAACGTTCTTGTTCTCCATGTCAGACGTTTGTTTCTTCTCCTCTCGTCCAACACAAACCAGGACTTTCTGCTCCACATTTTTAGATCTCTTCTGAGGTATTAAGACCGCAGTACCGCTGAAATATTAAACCTCTGGTCTCTCTTTGTTCTACCGTGTGTGTTTTCCAAACCCACGGATGATGAAATGATTTGAAAGCTGACCACCAACGCTCTCTGGCGCACTTCTCTTAAAGGTTCTTTTCCCATAACATTCTTCATCTTCTTCCTCTGAGGTAATAAATGGGTTAATTGGGATTAATTATCCTGGATTACAAGACTGGGGAAGGTCCCCTTAGGGTGCAGGATGCTACGTTTAAACGTTCATGCACTGCTGGAAGATGCAGGGCAGGATAGGGTGTGCTCTTCCTGTTTCTGAGCCCCAGAGACAGCGTCTGGTCTCAGGGTCCCTGAACTCTCTAACCCACAACCGTGTCTCATGCTGGTCGGGTCAAGTGGGTTCAGAGTGAGGTAATGGCTACTTAAAGGTCTCCTATTATACTGTTTTTCATCAATATATCACAGGTCTCAGATATATACAGAACCTGTCTCTGATTGGCTGAAACACCAAACAGATCATTGCAGCATCCCATAATCCCCTCTGTTTCAGCCCTGTTTCCAAAGTGCTGATTCTCTGTCTGTTACTTTAGATGAAAATAAGGAGCCCCTCCCCACGCCCCTCTGAGAGAGATTTGGTTACAAAGAACTCAATGGTGCTCTAGGAGGAGATTCAGGTTACCTTGGTTGCTGATTGGCTAATGGTTACACAAGCCAAAAAAAGGTTTATGACATCATAAAGTGGCCAAAATCTGATCAGCTCATTTTCAGACAGGTTTTTATAGAAATGGATCAGGACAAAAAGAGAGAGAATCTTTGTTCCTGAAACTTTCAGAGTCTCTTTACACAGAGGGGACACATGTTGATGTAGAAGAGACATGAAGAAGAGGGGACACATGTTGATGTAGAAGAGACATGAAGAAGAGGGGACACATGTTGATGTAGAAGAGACATGAAGAAGAGGGGACACATGTTGATGTAGAAGAGACATGAAGAAGAGGGGACACATGGTTGATGTAGAAGAGACATGAAGAAGAGGGGACACATGTTGATGTAGAAGAGACATGAAGAAGAGGGGACACATGTTGATGTAGAAGAGACATGAAGAAGAGGGGACACATGTTGATGTAGAAGAGACATGGAGAAGAGGGGACACATGTTGATGTAGAAGAGACATGAAGAAGAGGGGACACATGTTGGTTGTAGAAGAGACATGAAGAAGAGGGGACACATGTTGATGTAGAAGAGACATGAAGAAGAGGGGACACATGTTGATGTAGAAGAGACATGAAGAAGAGGGGACACATGTTGATGTAGAAGAGACATGAAGAAGAGGGGACACATGTTGATGTAGAAGAGACATGAAGAAGAGGGGACACATGTTGATGTAGAAGAGACATGAAGAAGAGGGGACACATGTTGATGTAGAAGAGACATGAAAAGGTGGATTTGGCATAATAGCTGACCTTTAAAACACATTATCCACAGACGTTAGCATGCTGAAATCTCAGTTTTCTACATCATATCTTCTTCTTCTCTTTCATGTCTGAAGGCTCTCCTGTACTGAAGTAGTCTGCTGTGTTTCCTGTAGTCGTAAAGTTTAGCTCGGGAGCATCAAACTCATTTTAGTTCAGAGGTCAACTACAGCCAAATTTCATCTGAAGTTGGCCAGACCAGTAAAATCATAGCATAATAACCTATACAAACTCCAAATTGTTATCTTTGTTTCAGTGCAAATCAGTAGATTCTGAATATGTTCACATTTAATGATCTTTTTACAAAACAACCTGACATTTCTTAAGAAAAATAAGTGCAATTTTAACAGTTTTATGCTTCAGTTTATCACTTACGTGTGCATTACAATGTATAGATCACAGTGCATCTAGAAAGGCAACGATATCTGGAACTGAACAATATAGTATTTTACTTTATGATCAAAACAACTTTTCAAGATCTAAAAATGATTTTACGTTAATTTCCACATCTGTGTAGTAATCCTGACCACCTGAACTGACACCAACATGCAAACTAAAATGGGAACTATTAAGGAAGATGGTTAAGTGATCCCCCTGCCTTGTAAACGTATAGAATTTATACATAAAAAACTGTGAAAATTGCAGTTAATGTATTCTCTGTAATGTGTACACTTTGCAAAGTCCGTATGTGTGACACCCCTGCATTATCCGCCGACGTTAGCATGCTGAAATCTTTGTTTTCTCCATCATTTCCTCCTCTTCTTTCATGTCTGGAGGCTCACCTGCACTGAATCATGTGAAGTGGTCTGCTGTGTTTCCTGCAGTCGTACAGTGTAGCTTCAAGGACGCAGCTTTAGTGCCACAGCTGAAGAAACAAAGAGTGTGACTCCACTTAGCCCGTCTGCTTTCGTGTTTTCCTCTTCAATCTGCCCCACAGGGATGCATGTGTGTGAGAGTGTGTGTGTGTGTGTGTGTGCATCACATGTGTCATAGCTGCAGTGTGTCTGCTGCTTGTATGGGATTATGTAAAGCAGTGCTGCAACCTGTTAAAATGTTTTGCTTGTGAGTCAGAGCCAAAACGTGCGTCGTGTTGAAAGCGTCTGCTGGGAGGTCTGGTATGCATTTCTTAATGAAGGCCAGGCTACGAGCTGCAGTGGTTCTGGAGGAGAAACTCAGGTTTATATTCTTTGGTTAAAGGTCCCCTGTTATACTGTTTTTCATCAATATATTACAGGCCTCATATATATACAAAACCTGTCTCTGAAGTGTTTGGCTCCAAACACCAAACAGATCATTGCAGCATTACCCATAATCCCCTCTGTTTCAGCCCTGTTTCCAAAGTGCTGATTCTCTGTCTGTTACTTTAGATGAAAATAAGGAGCCCCTCCCCACGCCCCTCTGAGAGAGATTTGGTTACAAAGAACACAATGGTGCTCTCGGAGGAGATTCAGGTGATAAGGGTGGGGGGTTACCTTGGTTGGTGATTGGCTAATGGTTACACAAGTCAAAACATCGTTATGACATCATAAAGTGGCCAAAATCTGATCAGCTCACTTTCAGACGGGTTTTTATAAAAATGGATCAGGACAAAAAGAGAGAGAATCTTTTTTACACAGAGGGGACACATGTTGATGAAGAAGAGACATGAAGAAGAGGGGACACATGTTTATGTAGCAGAGACATGAAGAAGAGGAGACACATGTTTATGTAGAAGAGACATGAAAAAGTGGATTTTGCACAATAGTTGACCTTTAAACTTGTCTCTGTTTCAGTGTGAGCGTGGTGATCGGAGCTCCGAAGGCCAACACGACGCAGTCCAACGTCACCGAGGGAGGGTCCGTCTTCTACTGTCCCTGGAGCATCGGCCAATCAGACTGCCACTCCATCGACTTTGATACTGAAGGTAAGCTCATTTTAAATACACAATAGCCCTGGTTCGACTGTAGAAATAGAGACTTTTTGGCATTTCAACTGCAGAAAATAGGTTCTAAATTAAAGGGGACCGATCATGCAAAATGCACTTTTGTACGTCTTTTAAACATGAATATGTGTCCCCGGTGTTCCAGGGAACTCACCAAGTGTCAGAAAACACAACCCTCTCTATTTTCCTCCATACCCAAATCTCTAAAAAAGGGGCTGCAACGGATCTGATAAAAACTGATCCAGATTTGAACACTGTCCTGACGTCAGGACGGTGGCGCTACGGCTATTGGGCCAACTCCACCAATCAGGAGGAGACAGCCACGGCCATTGCCGTTCGAAAGCGCTGGAGACTCTGTAGTACATATGCCAGGCCTGTAGGTGGTGCTGTTCTCACAGAATCTGCCCTTGCAAAAACAGAGCTAAAAAATGTCAAATTGAGCAAAATGAGGCATGGCTAAAATGCATGATCTGTTTGGTATTTTGAAAAAAAAAAAGTATAAATATGCCTTATATAGGTATGGTCCTACACTATATTATTCAAATATAGCATGATAGGTCCACTTTAAGTTGCCATTTAGAAAACATTGAGAAGCACTTTCAGGGAGCCCTAAGACTTCTGTTATGAGATTTTGAGCCATACTAAAAGCTGTTAATATGTCACAATCTCCTAAGTTACACATTGAACACATGGAAGTTAGCATCTGCCTGGTTCAATAGGAACTTTCTATTGGATTTTTACGGTGGCCAACAGGTGCAAATGCGCTTCAACGTTACTTCCAGTAGGAGAAACGCGCTGCAGCTTCAGAAACGATGCAGACAATGCGATGCAATGCAACAATACAGACTTTTTGCACTACTTTTTATTTTGTATTTTTGTATTTTATTATATATGTTGCATTGTTGGAGGAGCTCAGGTCAGAATAATTTCATTGCCATTTCTACACTGTAGCTTTGTGCATATGACAAAGAAACCTTTGAATCTTTGAAATATAAAAACACAAATGTGCCAAAACACATGAAGAGACATCTTCACCAACTTGAAGAGAACACATGCAACACATGTTTACTAAAAAAGCTACATAAACGAAATGTGGAAATAAAAAATGCCCCCTATTTTGTTTGGAAGATGAATGCTGTGCCATCATTTTAATTGTGCAAGGATTGCATGTGACATCCTGGTTTGTGTAGAGATTGAGTAACTGGAGCCAGTGTTTTGAACTCTCCTAAAATAGCTGAGGTTCGCTGCTCTTCTGTACACTTGTGGAGCCATCAGAGCATTTCCTCTCCACTCATGCAGTCAGAAACAGGCCAGGATCAGGCGTCAGCGCCCCCCCCCCCCCCCCATCATCCACTGACCTGTAGGGCATCCATTTTCCTGTTTGTGTCCCTATGTTTGTGGATGAAAAGGATAATGGGTTGTTGAAGAGGTTCCTAGAAGGGTCCCTTTCCTTCCTGCAGGCCTTGTGTTTGTGCTGCTCTGCCCTCAGGAGCTATGGACAGATAATAAACCAGCAATAAACAAATAGGGCACACAAAGAAAGGTCCTGTTTGTATTTAAAGGTGAAGCAGACACCGCCGGCCCGGACAAAAAGACTCCAGTTGAGTCAAAATTAAGTGAAGTGGTTTAGGAGAACACGAGGAGGATGTGTAATGAATAGATTCAAGTTTCAGTGTGTTGTCAGAGCCTGTTTGGCACAATGCACCGAGAAGAAAGGAGCATTTAAGGTTAAAAAAGGACTGCAAGCTTTTGGGTTTTAACCGCATGAATCACACAGAGGGAGAGTTAACGCGATACTTTTGGCTTCTTTCCTGAGAAATCAAAGCTGATGCATTGTCCTGAAATGCACGATAAGGAGAAATGTTCCATCAGCCTGCTTTAACAACGCTCTTTTTATTGGACCCCGCTGCTCCGGTACCTTTTGCTCCACTGTTTTTCTTTGCAACATGAACTGGCTCGATGCCACGCAGAATGATGTCATGTTCAAGGCCTCGCAGTGAGGGGCCGTCAGAGAGCGTCCTTCAACATTTTTTAAAAGGCCCTTTTTTTTGTTGAAGGATCTCATCAGAGCTGCTTCCAACATCTGGATCAGGACAGACTCGCTGTGCAGTGCATTCACAGAAACACTCGGTACAAGGACATCTGAATGAAAATGTGGCCAAACAGATGTTAACATGCTGCAGTTCAGTTACTGTAGCTGTGACGGATTTCAGTTTTAATGCTAAGGCAGTAGAGAGACAGTCAGATGTTTTTCCCTGCTATGAATGATTGAGTAACGCCGAGCGACAACATCTTTGATCAATTATTCCCAAGATAAGTGAGCGTATCTGGCCGCTTGGATAAAAAGCACATCACGGCGTGTACTTTTATAAAGTTTCTGACCTTTTCAGTAAGTCGCTAGTGCCATTTTACCATTTGTGCTTATTTTAATAGCCCTGGTTCGACTGTAGAAATAGGGACTTTTTGGCCTTTGAACTGCAGAAAGTAGGGTCTAACTTAAGTTGGGGTACATGCAATTCACATGAAAGTGTCAACGTCATTTAGAAAACTTTGAGAAGCACTGGCAGGGAGCGCTGAGACCTCTGTTATGTTTGAGCCATACTAAAAGCTGTTAATATGTCACGATTACAGGGAAGAGAGATCCCTAAGACTCCCTATAGAGAGGTGCAGGAATTACGTACTGTAGACGGACCCTGAAGGCAGCATCTCCCTGGTCCAATGGGACTTCTCCTTGTGATTTTGGCAGAAAATAAGATGTTTATGATACTTACACGCATTTTTGTACGTATTTTTGGACTCATTCCCGCCTTTTGGGTGGCAACAATGCCTTTCAATAAACGCCCTTCTTTTCTGCCAGTGAAATATGCTTTATGGACCCTCTCCCGTTAAAGGATTGCTGTCTCCTCGAGTATTGGTACGTCGTATGTTTTGACCATAAAGTGGTGTCAGAGGTCTGTCGGTGAGTTTGAGCTCTGACCCACAGACCCTCTTAATTAGCGTCACTAATTGGGTCAAAGTGGCTAGAAAAAGGGCCCCTGTTCCATCCTACTTCCTCTTGCATTGAGATAAGAGCCGGCCTATGGATCTAAGTGGAGGGAGGATGTTAGGAGGGCACATACAGGATGGGAAGGAGGGAGGGTAGGAAATTCAACGGTTTTAATGTCATATGCACATAAGCTACAGTGGAGAAATAGCAATGAAATCCTTCTGACCTGAGCTCCACCAACAATGCAACCTAGTTATATAATAAAATACAAAAAAATATTGCAAGAAGTCTATATACATGTAAATAGAATATGATATGTACAAGAGGGGAGAAACCAGAGCTGTGTGTCCCCCAGGAGCAGCTGATGTGATGAGTGAATTTGGCCATTTGTCTTCCACACACACACACACACACACACACACACACACACACACACACACACACACACACACACACACACACACACACACACACACTCACAATGCCACTAATGGCTGTCGTCTCACACACAGTTCAAAGGCTATCGTAAGACCCCCACAATGCACTGCTGTTCCCTGGAGATCCCAGCAGCCGCTCTAACCTACATCCCAAGGGTCTGTCGGTCACATGACGTGTTGTGTCCCCTCCCTCTATCTCGCCTCTCAATCTTTTCTCAAATGTTCTTCGAGGGCTCAGTCGAGACACAAACGGAGCGTTTCATCGCCTGTTATGGTGACACAGAACTAATGCTGGAACGAATCCTGCCATGTGAGAACTTATTGAGGCCGTACTCCCGTTGGACAGATCAAAGTTGTGCAGTATGAATTACACGAGGACTTATTGCAGCTACTTGTGGTTCACTCAAGCTGTTTTTTCTCATATGAACCTCAGATAAAGTCTTTAGAATCTGCTGCTCACTACAGGAGGTTCAGATGTGTCGGTCACTTTTATTTAGGTAGTGGAAAATAGAAGAGGGATAAGAATTACAGCTAATGGCCGCATTGAAGTTACAGCGAATTTCATGGCGGGTGTACGAAATCTGTGGCAACACCATGGCTAGGTTGTTCCATGTAACAGAAAGCTTTTAATAACTTTTCAAAGTCTTTAGAAGATACTGACCAAATGTGAAGTCCATTGGATTACATCTTTACGTGAAGTTCGTGAAATTACAGCATACACAAAAAAGAATCACGCTAAATACGAAATGGCAGACTTTTTATTGGGATTAGACAATTGCCCCAAGAGATTTATTCGTATGTCTACATATGTGACATAAGTGCTGTGCAAATATGGATAAGATTATAATGTGGAAAAGTAGCCCGTTCAATTGGTTAAAAACAACCAAGTGTCTTGCTGTCCCTTTCGAATTTGTCTGATCCTTTTCAGCCCTTATAGATAGAAGATACCTATTTGTCTATCTATAGCAGGGGTGGGGAACCTCCGGCCCCCGGGGGTTAAAGAAATCTAGACCGCAAATAATTAAACAAGCGAGTGCCTGTTTTTCCTGGCCAAGGTCAGGGTCCTTGAACACAACACGAGCCTAACGTGTCATCACGTGGTATATGTCTCGTCTGACAGGGGTGCAGTTCTGACGGAGAGCACCAGAACACGGCTCCGGCACTTCAGATAAGGAGCCGTACACATGCCGCAGTTTTTGCGTGGCTGTGTCTTTAGTTGAAAGCCCAGAGGCGATCTGTTCATCTGTCATACTGATCATACAGTCAATAACTTTGTTGTTATTAGCATCTGGTTAGCTAGCTATGCTAACGAATATAAGAAGCTTTTTCTACAACCAGTGAGGTAGAGGCACATCTTTATATGATCATTATAGTTATAAAAAAATAAGAGACTAAAGTAAACAGGTATAAAATACTATATGACAGTAAAAAAAAGTTGTTATTAATAAACAAGAATAGAGTTTGAAAGGGGAGTGATTTGTAGAATATCCATAAAGAAAGAGTACATCTGCTTACAGTTCTGTTTCATATGGGTGTTGAGAGATGTATCCATAGATCTCCTAATGTTGCTCTCAAAGTGCACCAGATTGATGCTTTTAACTTCAATATTTAATAAAAAATCTTCCCCCCTAGAGGAGGTTGGGTCCCCCCCCCACTTAAATCATGTCCACATGGATAGGAAACTAAATACATTTGCACACATCTTGTGTCCATATCTTTCTGTTGTGGTGGTCATGCCACAACCGTGCACGTGCATGCGCGAGTCATGATAAGATATCTGGATTAAGAGGTTGCTTTTTCTTTGCACAGCATGAAAGAAAGGCGAAATTAATGGGCTGTGATTTTAGTATTTTTAAGCAGAGGTCAATCATTTGTACGGCCCTCGGAGGATGTTGTAAAAATTGAAATGGCCCTTGAGAGGAAAAAGGTTCCCCACCCCTGATCTATAGGCATCATCAGACTAACCCTAACCTCTTACCCTCTTACTTTTTATTTTATTATATATGTTGCATTGTTGGAGGAGCTCAGGTCAGAATAATTTCATTGCCATTTCTACACTGTAGCTTATGTGCATATGACAATAAAACCTTTGAATCTTTACCCAATGTTTATTTTCTTACGATATCACGCTAGCCACAAATAAATTGTCATCAACTCGCCAAGTTTGTGCTTGGGTCTGGTCGTCCGTTAAATGTCCGGTCAAAAGGATTGTTTCATACAGCTCCTCTGGGTCATGTCTAGAATAGTTTTTTTTGGAAACATGACTCAAGTCACTGTGCAGCTCCTTACCTTCCCCTGGTGGCTTTACATTAACCTTATCCAAACAAAGACTCCCGAGTTATGAAAATATAAGGAAAGTGTAAGCTGTAAGAGAAAGTACCGTGCGGCTGAGGCGGATTAGGTAGAGCAACATGCTAACAAGGAGCCGTTTGAGGGCATGCAACTGTTTGGATAAAGCACTTACTTTCACACTTCTGACCACACTGAGGCAAGGACTCGATGATGAATAACGTCAGCAGGAAACCCCAGTGTTGGAGGAAAAGCAGAAAGAGTTATGTTATTAAAAAAACTTCTGTGTCTCCAGTGAGGGGGAGCTGTACTCTACTGAAAGCCAAGGAGCGATAGGGCTTTGTATTAATGGCAACCAGGGCGAGATAGTGCAAGAAAAATGATAGTAAGATGGAGATAATATTGAAAATGAAAACAGAGAAAGAGGGAGAAAAGTGTGTGTGAAAACAGAGATGAGTGAGGGGTTGCTGTGAGGAAGCCGGGCTGGAGAGAGTGTGTTTTCCTTGGATTGTGGAGAGGGAGGAGAGGAGATAAAGAAGGAGGCCTGAGGCTCAGCTGGATCTCCTCACATGCTCTCAGGTCATGATCTCTGGCAGATTCAGCCCTCAGTCTACGCTCTCTGTAATATGCATGTCGTTTGACCATTGAAAGTAAACAAGAAGGAGACGTAGTGCTACGAAATGAATCAAAGGGAAGTACTAGGATGACATTTTGAGGACATATCCTTGCTCCCTTTTCATGGGCATAGTCACTGACGTCACCCATTGGTTTTATGGACTACGCTTTTGAAAAAATGTGATCAAGAAAGTAGTAGGAAGATTTTCTCATAGACTTCTATACAAGCTGCTGTATTTTAGAGAGAAAGCAGGTTTTAAGTGTCAGTTTCTGTTTTGGTTTGATGGGGGATTGAGTTGGAGATCTGCAGAGGGTTAAGTGGAAGAGTTTCAGATGCTCTTGACCTCACATTTGCACTCCGCTCACAGATGTCAGCTGAATTCCTCGGTGTGTGTTTGAGCTGCGTGAGACTGATGCGACTTCCCTGCCCAATCGATTTGTTTGCATTTCACTCTCCGTCCATCGCAGCACAGACGTAGCATCTGTTTTCCAATAAAGTTGTTCTTAAATCTGACTCCCAGCACCATCTGTCACGTCACCTGCTGCTGTCAGAGCTGCCAGGTGGTCAAACAGAGCGAGAGGTCAGAGGTTAAACTAAAAGAAAACCAGGATCTCGAGAACACATACCATACAAAGTCCAGTGTCAGATGTACATTTACATAATCTTGTTATTGTTCATTTGTAAATGTAACATGTATATTTTCTACTTTCTTGTTTATTTCTTGTCTTTTAATTTGTATTGTACAATGCCATGTTTTTATGCTGCTGCAACGCAAACATTTCCCAAATTGGGATCAATTAAGTACTTCTTATCTTATCTTCTAAATTCTCACGCAGTTTTTTTTATATAAGTTTAGTAACTAGAGTCTTAAAGCTTTCTGACAAATGTCCAGATATTTCTATCGGTGTGGGAGGGATGTTATATCATATCACTAAGTGTCTCTTTCTTGTGTTTTTCCCCCAGGTGATCGCACCGTGTTGCTGAACAACACTGAACATCAGATCGATTTTAAGTCCCACCAGTGGTTCGGAGCCACTGTTCGTTCTCACGGAGACACCATCCTGGTAAGAAGACCCTCTCAGAGAGGATTGTGGGGGATGGGAGGGGAAGGAGTTAAGTTTCAGATCTGCAGAGACAATACCTGCTGTTATTATTTCAGTTCAGTGAAGACTGTGAGAAACGTTCACCTTGGAGTTATTAAACCATGCCAAACCATTCGAAGTGCTAGTACCTTAGCTTCAACTAACTACTACCATACATATAACGAAAGATTAATCAGACAAATGAAGATGTCAGGTATTCTGTTTCGCTGATGCATGTTTGTTGTGTTTGACAGATTTTTGTTTTCATGTTTCTATTAGCCGCTTTCACACCAAGTACTTTGCCGTACTTAGTGCCGGCACGCGTTCGCACCGGAATAAGTTCCCTGAGGGAGGATTAGGCAAATGAAGCCGCTGACGTCACTTCTTCTTCTTCTGCTTTGGGTTTACTGGCAGGCCGCAAACCACTTCACGGCGTATACTGCCACCCGGAGTCCCCGGCCGGAAGTCCCCGGAGTTGGGGACTGGCTTCAGTAGAAGCTGCTGGGACTCCCAGCAGCTTCTACTGAAGCCTTCTGAGTAAATCGCCAGAACGCCGACACCTCCTCATCTCCACCGCTCCCATGTTCTTTTTTGTGTTGCCATAAGTTATTCTCTCTCCGTTGGTGCGCGGGGCTAATGCTAATAATGCTAATGCTAATAATGCTAATGCCAGCAAATACAATGGCGGCTTCACAAAACGAGTTTTACGGGGCGTGGTTTGCAATTCGCCCAGCCAATCGAAATTGGTACTTTGTTCTCCCCAGGATAGTACCACCTCTCTAGCAGGGACTAAAAATGGGGGTAAAAGTTCTTGGAACGAAGTACTCTTTTTGGTGTGAACGCAAAATTCCAGGCACTAACGGAACTAAACGGGAAAAGTACTCCGGTGTGAACGCGCCTATAGGTTTGTACGCAGCTGTGAATGACCATTTATTTTTCAGTAATGGGTAAAACAAGACTTTCTAGTGCCTGCTCCTTTCCATCATGAGCTATATAAACTGCCAATCAATCAATCAGTCAATCAATAAAGAAACTGTATTTATCCAAGGGAGAAATTAGGCAAACACCTATTATAATATATAAAATATAAACACAAGTAAATAGATAAATAAATAAATAAAAATACAATCATCTAAAAAAGAGAAGAGATTATTTATTAGCTAGCTATTAACTAATTTACCTCTGCAAGTAAACAAATGCCAATGAACAAGCACCTTTAACATTACATATTCTCTATCTATCACACTAACAATTATACAATTGAATATATTAGAAGTAAAAAATCAAGTTCATTTTGACAAGACTGGTTGCTCAATCTTTTGCACCAGGAGAGAAAGACTGAAATATATTCCAAAGCTTGATTTATCACCCAGAAAGTTCTTTATTCGAAATTTGTCTCACAGATTAGTGTCTATTAACTTGTCACTTGGGTGCAGTTCTCACCTCACCCACCGTAAAGAGATGTTTAGTGCCCCCCCTGATACTTCAAAGTGTGGTTTGCTCTGAGGTTATCGGGTTGAGTTACGGTGTTACCGTTATCCAGATGTACCGCTGACCTCCTCCTGAGTTCAGCAGTGTGATGTTGCAACTGGAAAAACATCTCCCCAACATTTGTTTAAAGGTCACCTATTATGCAAAATCCACTTTTTCATGTCTTTTCTACATCAACACGTGTCCCCTCTTCTTCATGTCTCTTCTACATCAACATTGTCCTGATCCATTTATATAAAAACCTGTCAGAAAATGAGCTGATCAGATGTTGGTCACTTTATGATGTCATAATGGTTTTTTGGCTTGTGTAACTATTAGCCAATCACCAACCAAGGTAAAGCACTTTGAATTGCCTTGTGTTGAAAGGTGCTATATAAATACATTTGCCTTTCCTTGCCTCCCACCTAAAAGTTCACCACATTCATCTCTTCCCTCCCTCTTTCTCCCCTCCTCCTCCTCCCTCAGGCTTGTGCCCCTCTCTACTCCTGGAGGACGGAAAAAGATTACCCCCGTTCTGACGCCACAGGAACCTGCTACCTCTCAGTGCAAAACTTCACCAAATTTGTGGAATTTGCACCCTGCCGCACAGGTAACTGTCTCATTGATTCATCTCCTGCTGATGTTCAGGTGTATATCAGTATGTAGTGTCTCTACTTTAAAGAGTCCTCTCCTGCTGATGTTCAGGTGTATATCAGTATGTAGTGTCTCTACTTTAAAGAGTCCTCTCCCGCTGATGTTCAGGTGTATATCAGTATGTCGTGTCTCTACTTTAAAGAGTCCTCTCCTGCTGATGTTCAGGTGTATATCAGTATGTAGTGTCTCTACTTTAAAGAGTCCTCTCCTGCTGATGTTCAGGTGTATATCAGTATGTAGTGTCTCTACTTTAAAGAGTCCTCTCCTGCTGATGTTCAGGTGTATATTAGTATGTCGTGTCTCTACTTTAAAGAGTCCTCTCCCGCTGATGTTCAGGTGTATATCAGTATGTAGTGTCTCTACTTTAAAGAGTCCTCTCCCGCTGATGTTCAGGTGTATATCAGTATGTCGTGTCTCTACTTTAAAGAGTCCTCTCCTGCTGATGTTCAGGTGTATATCAGTATGTAGTGTCTCTACTTTAAAGAGTCCTCTCCTGCTGATGTTCAGGTGTATATCAGTATGTAGTGTCTCTACTTTAAAGAGTCCTCTCCTGCTGATGTTCAGGTGTATATCAGTATGTCGGGTCTCTACTTTAAAGAGTCCTCTCCTGCTGATGTTCAGGTGTATATCAGTATGTCGTGTCTCTACTTTAAAGAGTCCTCTCCTGCTGATTGTTCAGGTGTATATCAGTATGTAGTGTCTCTACTTTAAAGAGTCCTCTCCTGCTGATGTTCAGGTGTATATCAGTATGTAGTGTCTCTACTTTAAAGAGTCCTCTCCTGCTGATGTTCAGGTGTATATCAGTATGTAGTGTATCTACTTTAAAGAGTCCTCTCCTGCTGATGTTCAGGTGTATATCAGTATGTAGTGTCTCTACTTTAAGAGGTCCTCTCCTGCTGATGTTCAGGTGTATATCAGTATGTAGTGTCTCTACTTTAAAGAGTCCTCTCCTGCTGATGTTCAGGTGTATATCAGTATGTAGTGTCTCTACTTTAAAGAGTCCTCTCCTGCTGATGTTCAGGTGTATATCAGCATGTAGTGTCTCTACTTTAAAGAGTCCTCTCCTGCTGATGTTCAGGTGTATATCAGTATGTCGTGTCTCTACTTTAAAGAGTCCTCTCCTGCTGATGTTCAGGTGTATATCAGTATGTCGTGTCTCTACCTTTTAAAGAGTCCTCTCCTGCTGATGTTCAGGTGTATATCAGTATGTAGTGTCTCTACTTTAAAGAGTCCTCTCCTGCTGATGTTCAGGTGTATATCAGTATGTAGTGTCTCTACTTTAAAGAGTCCTCTCCTGCTGATGTTCAAGGTGTATATCAGTATGTAGTGTATCTACTTTAAAGAGTCCTCTCCTGCTGATGTTCAGGTGTATATCAGTATGTAGTGTCTCTACTTTAAAGAGTCCTCTCCTGCTGATGTTCAGGTGTATATCAGTATGTAGTGTCTCTACTTTAAAGAGTCCTCTCCTGCTGATGTTCAGGTGTATATCAGTATGTAGTGTCTCTACTTTAAAGAGTCCTCTCCTGCTGATGTTCAGGTGTATATCAGTATGTAGTGTCTCTACTTTAAAGAGTCCTCTCCCGCTGATGTTCAGGTGTATATCAGTATGTCGTGTCTCTACTTTAAAGAGTCCTCTCCCGCTGATGTTCAGGTGTATATCAGTATGTAGTGTCTCTACTTTAAAGAGTCCTCTCCTGCTGATGTTCAGGTGTATATCAGTATGTAGTGTCTCTACTTTAAAGAGTCCTCTCCTGCTGATGTTCAGGTGTATATCAGTATGTCGTGTCTCTACTTTAAAGAGTCCTCTCCTGCTGATGTTCAGGTGTATATCAGTATGTCGTGTCTCTACTTTAAAGAGTCCTCTCCTGCTGATGTTCAGGTGTATATCAGTATGTAGTGTCTCTACTTTAAAGAGTCCTCTCCTGCTGATGTTCAGGGTGTATATCAGTATGTAGTGTATCTACTTTAAAGAGTCCTCTCCTGCTGATGTTCAGGTGTATATCAGTATGTAGTGTCTCTACTTTAAAGAGTCCTCTCCCGCTGATGTTCAGGTGTATATCAGTATGTCGTGTCTCTACTTTAAAGAGTCCTCTCCTGCTGATGTTCAGGTGTATATCAGTATTGTAGTGTCTCTACTTTAAAGAGTCCTCTCCTGCTGATGTTCAGGTGTATATCAGTATGTAGTGTCTCTACTTTAAAGAGTCCTCTCCTGCTGATGTTCAGGTGTATATTAGTATGTCGTGTCTCTACTTTAAAGAGTCCTCTCCCGCTGATGTTCAGGTGTATATCAGTATGTAGTGTCTCTACTTTAAAGAGTCCTCTCCCGCTGATGTTCAGGTGTATATCAGTATGTCGTGTCTCTACTTTAAAGAGTCCTCTCCTGCTGATGTTCAGGTGTATATCAGTATGTAGTGTCTCTACTTTAAAGAGTCCTCTCCTGCTGATGTTCAGGTGTATATCAGTATGTAGTGTCTCTACTTTAAAGAGTCCTCTCCTGCTGATGTTCAGGTGTATATCAGTATGTCGTGTCTCTACTTTAAAGAGTCCTCTCCTGCTGATGTTCAGGTGTATATCAGTATGTCGTGTCTCTACTTTAAAGAGTCCTCTCCTGCTGATGTTCAGGTGTATATCAGTATGTAGTTGTCTCTACTTTAAAGAGTCCTCTCCTGCTGATGTTCAGGTGTATATCAGTATGTAGTGTCTCTACTTTAAAGAGTCCTCTCCTGCTGATGTTCAGGTGTATATCAGTATGTAGTGTATCTACTTTAAAGAGTCCTCTCCTGCTGATGTTCAGGTGTATATCAGTATGTAGTGTCTCTACTTTAAAGAGTCCTCTCCTGCTGATGTTCAGGTGTATATCAGTATGTAGTGTCTCTACTTTAAAGAGTCCTCTCCTGCTGATGTTCAGGTGTATATCAGTATGTAGTGTCTCTACTTTAAAGAGTCCTCTCCTGCTGATGTTCAGGTGTATATCAGCATGTAGTGTCTCTACTTTAAAGAGTCCTCTCCTGCTGATGTTCAGGTGTATATCAGTATGTCGTGTCTCTACTTTAAAGAGTCCTCTCCTGCTGATGTTCAGGTGTATATCAGTATGTCGTGTCTCTACTTTAAAGAGTCCTCTCCTGCTGATGTTCAGGTGTATATCAGTATGTAGTGTCTCTACTTTAAAGAGTCCTCTCCTGCTGATGTTCAGGTGTATATCAGTATGTAGTGTCTCTACTTTAAAGAGTCCTCTCCTGCTGATGTTCAGGTGTATATCAGTATGTAGTGTATCTACTTTAAAGAGTCCTCTCCTGCTGATGTTCAGGTGTATATCAGTATGTAGTGTCTCTACTTTAAAGAGTCCTCTCCTGCTGATGTTCAGGTGTATATCAGTATGTAGTGTCTCTACTTTAAAGAGTCCTCTCCTGCTGATGTTCAGGTGTATATCAGTATGTAGTGTCTCTACTTTAAAGAGTCCTCTCCTGCTGATGTTCAGGTGTATATCAGTATGTAGTGTCTCTACTTTAAAGAGTCCTCTCCCGCTGATGTTCAGGTGTATATCAGTATGTCGTGTCTCTACTTTAAAGAGTCCTCTCCCGCTGATGTTCAGGTGTATATCAGTATGTAGTGTCTCTACTTTAAAGAGTCCTCTCCTGCTGATGTTCAGGTGTATATCAGTATGTAGTGTCTCTACTTTAAAGAGTCCTCTCCTGCTGATGTTCAGGTGTATATCAGTATGTCGTGTCTCTACTTTAAAGAGTCCTCTCCTGCTGATGTTCAGGTGTATATCAGTATGTCGTGTCTCTACTTTAAAGAGTCCTCTCCTGCTGATGTTCAGGTGTATATCAGTATGTAGTGTCTCTACTTTAAAGAGTCCCTCTCCTGCTGATGTTCAGGTGTATATCAGTATGTAGTGTATCTACTTTAAAGAGTCCTCTCCTGCTGATGTTCAGGTGTATATCAGTATGTAGTGTCTCTACTTTAAAGAGTCCTCTCCTGCTGATGTTCAGGTGTATATCAGTATGTAGTGTCTCTACTTTAAAGAGTCCTCTCCTGCTGATGTTCAGGTGTATATCAGTATGTAGTGTCTCTACTTTAAAGAGTCCTCTCCTGCTGATGTTCAGGTGTATATCAGCATGTAGTGTCTCTACTTTAAAGAGTCCTCTCCTGCTGATGTTCAGGTGTATATCAGTATGTCGTGTCTCTACTTTAAAGAGTCCTCTCCTGCTGATGTTCAGGTGTATATCAGTATGTCGTGTCTCTACTTTAAAGAGTCCTCTCCTGCTGATGTTCAGGTGTATATCAGTATGTAGTGTCTCTACTTTAAAGAGTCCTCTCCTGCTGATGTTCAGGTGTATATCAGTATGTAGTGTCTCTACTTTAAAGAGTCCTCTCCTGCTGATGTTCAGGTGTATATCAGTATGTAGTGTATCTACTTTAAAGAGTCCTCTCCTGCTGATGTTCAGGTGTATATCAGTATGTAGTGTCTCTACTTTAAGAGTCCTCTCCTGCTGATGTTCAGGTGTATATCAGTATGTAGTGTCTCTACTTTAAAGAGTCCTCTCCTGCTGATGTTCAGGTGTATATCAGTATGTAGTGTCTCTACTTTAAAGAGTCCTCTCCTGCTGATGTTCAGGTGTATATCAGCATGTAGTGTCTCTACTTTAAAGAGTCCTCTCCTGAAAAAAATAAAATGTCTTTGTGTCCTAGTTAAAGTAGCTGATTCAATTTAGATCAGGGTCTAAAAAGGGATCTGTAACATGTGATTCAATTTGCTTGGAGAGACTAACAAACACTGACTGTATTTTCTGTCTTTTTGCTTTTTAATCTGTCGTTTTTTAAAATTTTTAAATGTGTACCAAAGTTCAATATCAGAAAGACTGCTAAAAAAAGCATGCATTTTTATTAAATGTTATTTATTACATTCATTCAATTGTATTATTGTTATTATTATTTATTTATTTAGATCATCTGCTTTTTTCAAAAACATTTCCAATTTTTTAATTTATTATTATTATATTTCATTTGTTCCTATTTCTCTCTTTTTCTTCATCTTTACTTTCCTTGTATGGACAATGTAGATACAGCTTACACAACGTGAACATGTCTGTTTCATGAAGCTGAAACCTTTTTAAAAAGCATGCAAAGAACTCTGTCTGTCAAATAATAAATAGAGTTGTTGTAAATGTTATATATTGTTCTGTGTTGCAGAGATCAGTGACGCGGTGGGACAGGGTTACTGTCAGGGGGGCTTCAGTGCCGATTTCACCACGGTAACAACTCCTATTCCTGTTACTTTATATGGGCAATATATATATATATATATGCTGTTAAAAACGGTGCAATATATACCTGGCTGCTAAATCCTCAGAACTGTTACAGGATGTGTATTTTGTAAGATAAGATAAGTTAAGATAAGAAGTACTTTATTGATCCCAATTTGGGAAATGTTTGCATTGCAGCAGCATAAAAAGACAATAGCCGCTTTCACACCAAGTACTTTGCCGTACTTAGTTCCCCGCACTTAGTGCCCCCATGGAACTAAGTAACAGATCGCGTTCACACCGGAATAAGTTCCCTGAGGGAGGATTACGCAAATGAAGCCGCTGACGTCACTTCTTCTTCTTCTGCTTTGGGTTTATTGGCAGGCAGCAAACCATTTCACGGCGTATACTGCCACCCGGAGTCTCCGGCTCCGGGGCTAATGCTAATGCTAATAATGCTAATGCCAGCAAATACAATGGCGGCTTCACAAAACTTTTCAGAGTTTTACGGGGCGTGGTTTGCAATTCGCCCAGCCAATCAGAAATTGGTACTTTTTTCTCCCCAGGATAGTACCACCTCTCTGGCAGGGACTAAAAATGGGGTAAAAGTTCTCGGAACTAAGTACTCTTTTTGGTGTGAACGCAAAATTCCAGGAACTAAACGGGAAAAGTACGGGTAAAAGTACGGGTAAAAGTACTCCGGTGTGAACGCGCCTAAGGTAATGTACATAAGAACAATTAAAACACTAGAAATAAACTATCCAAAATATTTCTGAGATAGAAATAAAATAGCATTAAAAAGTTAAAATATATACATGTGGAAATACAAATGTACAGTAAGAAAATATAAAGCAGGATATTATATATACATTAATTGTGCAACGAATGGATTATTAAATATGAAATGTGGGACGAATAAAGCGATTCTGATTCTGATTCTGAAGTTTTTAGGATAATCTTTTTCCTCTTCCAGTTTAGTAATTGTACGGTTTTGTCTTTCAGGATGGCAAAGTGGTATTAGGAGGGCCCGGCAGCTACTTCTGGCAGGGTGTGTAGGAAATACCAATAAAACCCACGTGGAAATCTGTAAAGCCTCAAAATGTCCTGCCAAGTTAAATTTGATGTCTCTGTATTTGTGGTATTTCTAGGTCAGGTGATCTCTGCAGCTAAAGAGGACATTATCAAAGCGTATTACCCTGGGTATTTCATGCAGTCTGTGGAGGGCCAGAAGCAGACCAGACAGGTGAAGTCCGAGCACGACGACAGCTACCAAGGTGAGAGAGGCTCATTTGACCCTGTGATATCTGAGGGGGGGGGACAAAGCCTGATTAGTGGTAGAAAGAGAACAAGCCCTAATTTTGAATAAAAGTCTCAACTGTGAGAAAAAGTCTGAATTCTGAAAAAAAGTTGGAACATTTGAGAATAAGTACATTTTTGAGAAGATGTCAACATTTTGAGAAGACGTCAGAATTTTGAGAAAAAGTCAAATTTTTAGCAAAAGTCTGGATTCAGCGAAAAATGTCTGGATTCTGAAAAAAAGTGAAATTTCTAAGAAAAATTCTGAATTTTGAGAAAGTGGGAATTTTAAGAAAAAGTCAACATTTAAGAAAAAGTCAACATTTTGAGAAAATGTCCAAATTGAGAAGACGTCAACATTTTGAGAAAATGTCAGAATTTTGAGCAAAAGTCTGGATTCAACGAAAAAAAGTCAGAATCCTGAAAAGAAGTCACATTTCTAAGAAAAAGTCTGAATCTTTAGAAAATGTCCACATTTTGAGAAAAAGTCAAATTCTGAGAAAAAACTAAGAATTCTGGGGGAAACAATTATTGACAATACCATGACTTTATATTTAATCTATGAGCATTACATATTCTCAGCTATTCCTATCTGAGCCAGCTAAGTAATGGAAACCCTGGCTCTGGTGAACTCTCCGTGTTAACCCCCCCCCGCACATATCTGTATTTACATAGCCTCATGTCTGTCCTCTGGTCCACAGGCTACTCTATCGCTGTTGGGGAATTCAGTGGTGATGAGGTGGAAGGTAAGCCAATGAAATTAAATTGGGTATGCACGCTCACAGCCAAAGTTATATGAAGCGTATAGGAATAAAAACGTAAAAACTGCTGGCACATAGAAGAGAAAATACTCCAGCTGACGTGAACATAAAGTAGAATATTTTAAACAATCTTCGAGCTCCATGTGGTGTTTTGTCTCCTAAATCTTTGCTTCATCTCTCTCAGATTTTGTGGCCGGCGTTCCAAAAGGACTCAAGCTTTATGGATTGGTAAGAAAGATGAATCATCTATCAATAAAGAGAAAGAAGACAGCCTCCAGTGTTCACAGTTAGACTTATTATCGCAGTGAATTCCTAAACCACAGACGGTGTTTATATAATAGCCTGTTAAAAAAAGACCATATGTGGCTTCTGTGTCGCAGGTGTCGATTCTGAACGGTACCGATCTGAAGACCATCATGAACTTCACAGGCGAGCAGGTGAGTCGCTCCTATCAGAAATAAAGACTACTTCACATCTCATATCTTAGACTAACGGTCTGTTTCGTGGTTTGCAGTAAATCTCAGTTATTCGGGGGGAAAGTGCAGTGGCAATTTGTGCAAATGGTTCTGGGAATAGAAAGGGCTCCGAGCTCATTTAAACAGTGATGATTGACTCGGCTGAATAAATATAATCACGAGTGAATTTGCAATTCAGACTGCCCCGACAATCAGTGTGCTTTTTAAACTCAAGGTTCATAGACAGAGAAACTCCGAAAATTAAACTGACCTGGAACAGAAAAGGCTGCGAGCTGTAAAATCCATCAGGCTTTCATGTTTCGTTTACTACAGCTTTCTTTTTCTAGTAACACAGAAATCAAGATTGTAGTAGCATGATTGTTTTGTGTTATCTTATGCCACGAGAATCAGGGGGATTACCCTTCTGAATATCGTCAGCATAGCTATGATTTATTATGGTTTGAAAGATTATCTAGCCAGATATTCCTGCTGTGTACGGTATATTAAAGGGGCCGTATCCTGCTGATGTTCAGGTGTATATCAGTATGTAGTGTCTCTACTTTAAAGAGTCCTCTCCTGCTGATGTTCAGGTGTATATCAGTATGTAGTGTCTCTACTTTAAAGAGTCCTCTCCTGCTGATGTTCAGGTGTATATCAGTATGTAGTATCTCTACTTTAAAGAGTCCTCTCCTGCTGATGTTCAGGTGTATATCAGTATGTAGTGTCTCTACTTTAAAGAGTCCTCTCCTGCTGATGTTCAGGTGTATATCAGTATGTAGTATCTCTACTTTAAAGAGTCCTCTCCTGCTGATGTTCAGGTGTATATCAGTATGTAGTGTCTCTACTTTAAAGAGTCCTCTCCTGCTGATGTTCAGGTGTATATCAGTATGTAGTGTCTCTACTTTAAAGAGTCCTCTCCTGCTGATGTACAGGTGTATATCAGTATGTAGTGTCTCTACTTTAAAGAGTCCTCTCCTGCTGATGTTCAGGTGTATATCAGTATGTAGTGTCTCTACTTTAAAGAGTCCTCTCCTGCTGATGTTCAGGTGTATATCAGTATGTAGTGTCTCTACTTTAAAGAGTCCTCTCCTGCTGATGTTCAGGTGTATATCAGTATGTAGTATCTCTACTTTAAAGAGTCCTCTCCTGCTGATGTTCAGGTGTATATCAGTATGTAGTGTCTCTACTTTAAAGAGTCCTCTCCTGCTGATGTTCAGGTGTATATCAGTATGTAGTGTCTCTACTTTAAAGAGTCCTCTCCTGCTGATGTTCAGGTGTATATCAGTATGTAGTGTCTCTACTTTAAAGAGTCCTCTCCTGCTGATGTTCAGGTGTATATCAGTATGTAGTGTCTCTACTTTAAAGAGTCCTCTCCTGCTGATGTTCAGGTGTATATCAGTATGTAGTGTATCTACTTTAAAGAGTCCTCTCCTGCTGATGTTCAGGTGTATATCGGTATCTAGAGTCTCTACTTTAAAGAGTCCTCTCCTGCTGAAGTTCAGTGTATATCAGTATGTAGTGTCTCTACTTTAAAGAGTCCTCTCCTGCTGAAGTTCAGTGTATATCAGTATGTAGTGTCTCTACTTTAAAGAGTCCTCTCCTGCTTCATAGTGTCTAGTGGGAACACAGGGATTTTAGCCCTTGCAGACCATTTACATGCACACAAACCTATATAACACACTACAGGAGAGGGAACACCCATAAAAGCAGAATAGGGCCCCTTTAATGACTTTCGATGGTTAGATTTTCATTCATTAAAGTTGTGGATTCCCTTTTTCTTCACAGATTGGATCATATTTTGGGTACACAGTGGCAACGACGGATCTCAACAGTGATGGGTAAGTTGTCTGTTTTCTCTCTATTCTCAGATAATTATCCAGCGGTGTTTAGATTGGACGCCACCAACATCTCATTACAGGCGTCGATGTGTATGAATGAGTTTGTGTTAGAAAAATATCACTCGCCACCGGCTTGAGCTTCAATCTCAGGATCCATGTATTTATAATCCTCTCAAGAATGGAAGTAGTCATCACATACAGAGCATCAACTAGTTCCTGAACAGTGTCCTTCACATGCTGATATCCAAGAGAGGGAGTTACACAGTCACAAGATGGAGGAATAGAAAGCAGTATTCAATGTTTACTTCAGATTAGCTCCACGTCAGAAATGATCATGCTTGTCATATGTCTATCTCCATAGAGGCTGAATCATCATGTTAATCACATAGCTATCATATGCCTAAAACAGTCCTGATGCTCTTCTAGGTAATCAGACATCCTGTCATGCACACAGCTACAGTTGGGATACCTTTGTTAACAGTTTGTGTGATTTCTCTTTTAATGCAGTTTGACTGACCTGCTGGTTGGCGCTCCCATGTTCATGATGCGAGGATCCGATGGTCGTCTGGAGGAAATGGGCCGGGTCTATGTTTACCTGCAGAGAGACCCCCTGCAGAGAGACGCCCAGCAGCTGGAGCTCCTCCTCCCTCACCTGACCGGATCCCAGGTGATGGGGAGGTTCGGCAGCACCATCGCACCTTTGGGAGATCTGAACCAGGACGGCTTCAATGGTAAGAATTTGATTGTGTATATATAGGTATATACATATTTGCATACGTATTTTTACATATATTTGTTTTTGTATTCGGGATTGAGGGAAACGGTATTTCGATCTCCATCGTCTGTACACACAAACTGAAAGATTGACAATAAAGTTGACTTTTGACTTTGATAATAAATACCTAATATCTTTCGTCACGTTGTCCTCGTGCAGACGTGGCCATCAGCTGTCCGTTTGGCGGGGAGGACCAGCAGGGTTTGGTCTACATATTTAACGGTTTCTCCGAGGGTCTGAAGGAGAAACCCTCGCAGGTGATTTCGGGTCAGTGGGCTGCAGGATCGGTTCCTGCCAGCTTCGGGTTCTCCCTCCGAGGAAATAAAGACCTGGACATGAACGGATACCCAGGTGAGGAAGACTTCTCCCATTATGCACGACCAACATTACATTTGTATTGTGTTTCCTAACTCTTTTAATTTACTTCCTCAGATCTCATTGTCGGTGCCTTTGGTGTCAATAAGGCGGTTCTCTACAGGTATGATCGTTTGAAACATATACAGTGTTGTATAAAGATATTCTGGTATTGATAATAATAATAATAATAATAATAATAATAATAGCTATATTTTTTGTTTATAGTTCATCTGCTTTTCACTTTCAGGAAATGTAACTTTTTTTTTTTGTACACTTTAGTAGAATCTCTCCACCTTCACCTCCAGGCTTTTCCTTTAAAAAAGTCTAAGTCATTTTTGATGATAAGTTCTTTAATCTACACATAGTCAATGACACATTGGACTGATTATCTTTCAAATCTTGTACAGTTATTACAATAAGATCATACTTATTCAGGCTGTGATAATAGTGTAATGAAAACCTGATATCATGACCGACATTAAAGGGCCCATGTCATGCTTTTCTGGTTATTACCCGTCCCCTTGTGTGCTATGAAGGTTTTTATCCATGTAAACGGTCTGCAGAGTCACAAACCCTCAAAGTACACCCTGTAGCGAGTAAAACTCTAACACAGAAAATACCTGTCTATGCTGCCCCAGAACGCCTCGTTGGACATTTCTCTTTTTCTTCCTGGGTACAGTGACGTGACCATGCCCAAATGGACCAATCCGTGGAGCCGTTACGTTAAGTCCGTGGATTGGTCCATTTGGACCAATCCACGGACTTCCTCACACACACACACACACACACACTCAATCTTTTCTCAGCTGCAACTCCGCCAATTTCTCCTCCCTGAGACGGCGGGACGCGGCGAGGCTGTGAGTCGGTGTGTGAGCACACACACAAACTCCCAGCCAGGCTGCGGGTGTGTGTGTGTGTGTTCGGGCTGGGTTTCGCTGTGTCTCGCTGTCTCGCAGACGGCCACTGGGCTCATAGGGAGGGGGGGCGGCAGGAGCTCCAACAAGCCGTGTTGGACAGAGAGTGAATATGAAAGAGATGCTGTATGAGAAACCAATGTGATTTTGGAAAATTGCACAGTATAAATCTATTCTAGTAGACCTCAACAATGGAATTATGATCAGTAGAAATGGCCATGACATGGGACCTTTAAATCATGCTGTTTGTTTAGAGGAATCATTTGGAAATGTGCTTATTCACTTACTTGGCGACAATATCAATGAACGTCAACACTGAGCTAGTTAGCTTTCGCTCAGCAGAAAGAGTGGAAACAGTTGGAAATAGCTTTCATAATTCTGTAAAAAGAACAAAAAACCCACCGTATGTGTAAAAATGAAGTTTAAAAAGTTGTTCTAAAGAAGCTCTTTTTTTAGTTTTGAAAGAGCCATGCTAGCAGTTTCCCTCTGCTTTCATTCATTATGCTAAGCTAAGCTAACTGTCGTATTTATAGACACTGTATCGCTTGGCAGGCGTTTAGTTAACCTTAATGTCAAGCTTTTTCTTCCAATGTCTAATGTCATTTTTGAAGATAGGGTATTTAATCTGCTTCCTTTCTGTTTAGATCCCGCCCCATCGTGAACACCAGCGCCTCTCTGACCGTTTCCCCCACCATGATCAACCCGGAGGAGAAGAACTGCATCGTCACGAATGGAAACAGCAGCGTTCCCGTTTCCTGGTGAGATTCCAGCTCTCAGCTTCCTGTGACTCTGCTTCACTTCTGCTGCTGTTTGTTTGACCCAAAACACGGGCTTCCCCCTCTTCCTGCACATGCATAAACAGTGACAGGAAGTCCTGATAAGAAATAACCTTCTCATCAGCAGTCACGATATTAATTTCTACCGGGCTTATCTGACCTACTTTCTAAATGTCTTCAGTGTGCGCAGCAGCAGGAATCACACGCTGAATAGCAGCATTGTTGGCACTTTTTCTCTTTGCGCAGAAAAGGAAACAGACGAGGGTTGCTCGCTGCTTGACATGGCGACCCCCCCCCCCCCCTTCCTCCATTTTCCAGATCCTGATCCATAAAGGAAACTCTTGTATACACATGTGTCTTGATTACACTACGTTGCCTGGTGATGAGGAGTTTTTTTGTGGGGGTGAAAGGAGAGCACAGGGGGATAATGGACGGGGAGGGGTTTCTCTCTGCTGTTGCTTAGAATGAGATATTGTTTGGTGGGGGGAACACAGCTGGGAAACATCAGGACACGTAGACTCAGAAACAGGAGCTTACACATGAACTCATTACTCCTCCAGAGAAGGCCTTGTGCTCTCTCTTTCTGTCTCATTTTTCACCTTTCCGGTGTTTTTCTTCTCACTTCGTCCTGTGTTTGCTCTGCGAATCTTGTGTGTTTAGTAGTAAGTGCATTAAGTACTTTTACTCAAGTACTGTGTTTATGAGGTTTCACTTTTAGGTACTTTACTGGAGTGTTTGCCTACTTTACTATACTTCTACTCCACAAACATTTGGGAGCAAATAATGTACTTTTCACTCCACTACATTTATTTATAAGCTAAAGGAGGCTAATGTTGGGCTATAAAGGAACTACAGCACGGTCACATGACTTCACGTCACCACCGCTAAGCTAAAGGCGGCTAATGTTGGGCTATAAAGGAACTACAGCACAGTCACATGACTTCACGTCACCATCGCTAAGCTAAGGAAGGCTAATGTTGGGCTATAAAGGAACTACAGCACGGTCACATGACTTCACGTCACCACCGCTAAGCTAAAGGCGGCTAATGTTGGGCTATAAAGGAACTACAGCACGGTCACATGACTTCACGTCACCACCGCTAAGCTAAAGGCGGCTAATGTTGGGCTATAAAGGAACTACAGCACAGTCACATGACTTCACGTCACTACCGCTAAGCTAAAGGAGGCTAATGTTGGGCTATAAAGGAACTACAGCACGGTCACATGACTTCACGTCACCACCGCTAAGCTAAAGGAGGCTAATGTTGGGCTATAAAGGAACTACAGCACGGTCACATGACTTCACGTCACCACCGCTAAGCTAAAGGCAGCTAATGTTGGGCTATAAAGGAACTAGAGCACGGTCACATGACTTCAGGTCACCACCGCTAAGCTAAAGGTGGCTAATGTTGGGCTATAAAGGAACTACATCACGGTCACATGACTTCACATCACCACCGCTAAGCTAAAGGCAGCTAATGTTGGGCTATAAAGGAACTACATCACGGTCACATGACTTCACATCACCACCGCTAAGCTAAAGGCGGCTAATGTTGAGCTATAAAGGAACTACAGTACGGTTACATGACTTCACGTCACCACCGCTAAGCTAAAGGCGGCTAATGTTGGGCGTGATGACGTTTAGTCGTCTCGTTTAGACACTTGTCAGCAGATGCAGTTTTAAAATGTAACAGTGGAGTATTCACGGACATATTTTATGTTGTAGAACAAAACGGTAAAATCTCTTCAGCTTGTGTTAACCACAGACTTTATTTCAGGCTTACAACCAAAAACAAAATCAGAAAGCCATTGACTTACAGACCAGGGGACAGGCAGTGCTAAATGCTGACTCATTCCAGGTTTAGGACTCATTCCTGCACAACTCTCTATATATTATTCAAAAAATTGCCATTCTACATGATTAGTTATTTTAGATACGGTACTATTTTGGTGCCAATACTTTACTAGAATGCAGGAGTTTTTCTTGTAATATTTGACACTACTTCTACTTGAGTAAAGGGTCTGAGTACTTCTTCAATCTCTGGAGGATTGGGGGGTTTTGTGTTTGCAGCTGATGTCATGGGAGAGCGATCTGAAGGCTTACTCAAACAGCTATCCACTGGTCAGCACTGAAACATGAGCCCCCCCAATTTCACCCTTCTTAACTCTGCTATTCCTTTAGCGTAGAAACGGAGACGCTCAAATTTATCAGCTCCGGCTGGTGAAAGCGTGTCTCCGTTATTTGGCATTTTCTTCATTTTCTGCATTGTTTTCCCATTACGTCCCTGGCCTTGTAATGTGGGGGCCATGAGAGGAAGTGGGGGAACGATTGAGGGCAAGTGAGGTTTCCTGTGTGTGTTCAGTATTTATTCTGAATCTCTGCCATAAGTGGATGTGCTTCTCTCATCCTTTCCCTTCTGTCCAACACAGTGTCAACCTGAGTTTCTGCATATCTGCGGAGGGGAAGCACCTACCAGACGTTCTAGGTGAGCCAATTCTCCACATCTGCACTTACTTACAAACAAGGAAACTCTCAAAAAACCAACAATAGTGATGTTTTAAACCCACAACCTTATGTAGGGATGCATGGTGCAAAATATATTGATCAAACCTCTTCTGTTCCCGTCGTTCTAACCTCTAATTACTCATATACAAGCGCCATTATATTAAACCTACATAGACTACATTGTATTCTGCAGATTCTTTTTTTTTTTTCTTTTCAAACCTGTCATTACGTGGCTCAAACACATTCATCACGCCATGAATGCTCATTTGTGCTGCAGATTTCCAGGTGGAAGTGCAGCTGGACAGCAATAAGCACAAGCAGAAAGGAGCCGTGAGGAGGGCTCTGTTCCTGGACTCCCAGCAGCCTTCGCTCCAGAGGAGTGTGAGGGTGCGACATGGCGAGCGCGTGTGCAACAACACCAAGATCTACCTGAGAGTAAGCATTCATTCTTTCCAATAAATTATACCCTGTGCAAACGTTATATATACTGGCAGAGGTGGGAAGTAGTGGAGAACAAATACTTTGTTTCTGTACTTAAGTACATTTTTCTGGTATCAGTACTTTACTCCAATACTTATTTTTCTGACCACTTTTTACTTTCTACTTCTTACATGTTGAACACAAATACCTGTACTTTCTACTTCTTACATTTTGAACACAAATACCTGTACTTTCTACTTCTTACATTTTGAACACAAATACCTGTACTTTCTACTTCTTACATTTTGAACCCAAGTACCTGTACTTTCTACTTCTTACATGTTGAACACAAATACCTGTACTTTCTACTTCTTACATGTTGAACACAAATACCTGTACTTTCTACTTCTTACATGTTGAACACAAACACCTGTACTTTCTACTTCTTACATTTTGAACACAAATACCTGTACTTTCTACTTCTTACATTTTGAACCCAAGTACCTGTACTTTCTACTTCTTACATTTTGAACACAAATACCTGTACTTTCTACTTCTTACATGTTGAACACAAACACCTGTACTTTCTACTTCTTACATTTTGAACACAAATACCTGTACTTTCTACTTCTTACATTTTGAACACAAACACCTGTACTTTCTACTTCTTACATGTTGAACACAAATACCTGTACTTTCTACTTCTTACATTTTGAACACAAATACCTGTACTTTCTACTTCTTACATGTTGAACACAAGTACCTGTACTTTCTACTTCTTACATTTTGAACTCAAATACCTGTACTTTCTACTTCTTACATGTTGAACACAAATACCTGTACTTTCTACTTCTTACATGTTGAACACAAATACCTGTACTTTATACTTCTCACATTTCCCAAACAGGCTGGTTCCTTTAGTTTGAATGTGTGTTTGGTGGCGTGATCATTATTATTTAGAGTCATTGCGTGCCTATTGATTTGAACACGATCCGTGTATCCATCATTTCCTGGTCTTCTCTAAAGAAGAGGGACCAATGAAAACGTTGTCATGTTGCCGTTGTTCAGCATGGAAACATTCATTAGCTAACAATGACATTATTGTTCTATTAATATAAAGGGAGGTCAGGTACTCTTTAAAACAGCTGCTAGTTATGGGTACTTTTTACTGAAGTACATTTCAAAGCCCTCTTTACTTTGACTTGAGTAAAGACGTTTAGTCAGTACTTCTACTTTTACCAGAGTATTTTTAAACACGAGTATCTGTACTTATACTTGAGTAAAGGATGTGTGTACTTTTGCCATCTCTGTATACTGGCGATAAATGTGATAAAAGCAGGTTTTTCTAGTGGTTGTAAGTTACGATCATGATGCAAGCTAAAATCCTGCAAAGATTTTAACAGATTGGGACTTTTTGTGATAAAAACCCTGGTATTTGTTTTGTATTTCAGGATGAGAAAGACTTCAGGGATAAACTCTCCTCCATTTACGTGGCCTTGAACTTCAGCTTGGATCCGAAAGCAGCGGCAGACTCCCACGGTCTGCGGCCCATCCTCAACTATCAGACCACCAACGTGATCGAGCAGAAGGTATTTTCATGTTCTCTACACTTCTTTAATCCTCTGTCCAACACAGATAACCAACACCAGAGAGGAGGACTCGAGCCATGAATTACATGACTTCAGATTTGGCACTTCCTCTTGGATTTAGGCCTTTTCATCTGGGAATACTTGACAACTTCGCCCAAGCCGAAATATATATGTAAATAAGGCAATACATTCCCAGCAAGTCGACTCTAAAATCTCCCAGATCAACTTTGTTTGAACCAACAGCATCCAATCAAGTTGCAGGAAAACCATTAAAAGGGTGTGCTTAGAAACATGTATTCCCTTTCATTTCCTTAAATGAAGAACAAACATTAACGCTATACATTCCCAATAAACTCCCCACATCAAGTAACACAGGGCTCATCTTCGATTCGTGTCCCATTTGAACACAATACATCCGACCTCTGGACAAAACCCAGACCTAAAGGCCTTCTAGCATCAATACATGTTATACAAATGTTCCCTATTAATGAAAAGATGTTTCTTGGATAGCTTTGACACAAAATCTCTCTGAGCTTAGTCTACAAACCTGAAGAGATTCTGAAAGTTTCAGGAACAAAGATTCTCTCTCTTTTTGTCCTGATCCATTTCTATAAAAACCTGTCTGAAAATGAGCTGATCAGATTTTGGCCACTTTATGATGTCATAACGATGTTTTGTCTTGTGTAATCATTAGCCAATCACCAACCAAGGTAACCCCCCCCTCCCCCACCTTATCACCTGAATCTCCTCCTAGAGCACCATTGAGTTCTTTTTAACCAAATATCTCTCAGAGGGGTGTGGGGAGGGGCTCCTTATTTTCATCTAAAGTAACAGACAGAGAATCAGCACTTTGGAAACAGGGCTGAAACAGAGGGGATTATGGGTAATGCTGCAATGATCTGTTTGGTGTTTCAGCCAATCAGAGACAGGCTCTGTATATATCTGAGACCTGTGATATATTGATGAAAACAGTATAATAGGCGACCTTTAACAGTACTTAGGTTTGTTCCAGTGTGCAGATATTTCAGGATGGGGCACCAGCAGGCGTTTAGTCCATCTGGTTGAAATCTACCAGTTTTTCACTTGCAGTGAGCAGAGAGCTGCCTCAACATGTGGGCAAACTTCCAGCTGTGGCAGCGCGCACCATATGTTCAGCTTTTGGGAAACGGCAATCAGCGTTAGTCTTTAAACCCCCCCCCTTTTCTATTTTTCTATCGTGGTTTTTTTCTATCTTGTTGGATCAGGACTGCGCTCTTTCATTGATGCCCTTGAAAAAGCTGCTCCAACAGATGTGGTTGAACGTTGACCTTGAGACGAGTTCAAAAATCATCCTGAAAAAAATCTCCCTGCCAATCTGGATCTGTGTTTATGTGTTTTTAGCAGGGGAGACGTATCAGCCTGCCAACATATTTCAATAATCTCTCCCTGCGCTGTGTTAATGTAACAGCGTATAAACAGTGAAGGGTGACTATGATCCGCAGCCTTGATCACACACTCGATGCCCGTTTGATTTCCACATGTGCGCCGTAACGCTTCACCAACTCTGCCAAGTTCCTATACTCTCTTCTAGCTGTGAGAGTGAGAATGAGAGACGGTTGATGTGTTACGACCTCTCTGTCAGCTTAACATCTTCCACATGTTGCAGTTGGGAAGCTAAGGCGTTTCGATGAATCTATTAATTACTATCATTCTCAGATCTCGAGCGCAGAGAAAACAGAAAGGATCAGAGCTGTTGTCACCTCTTAAGAACTTGGACACGACTGAAATTCAGAATCAATGGCCTCTTTGTTCTTAATAATAACATCTGGGTGGACATTTAAAATGGATGCACGATAGATTATTCAATAATACAAAACCAAATGTTTTTCGTTAACAAGCGCAGCGTCTACACACTCACTAGACAGCAGAACATGGTATTGCTGATCTGGACATTTTTCAAGGCCCGATTTTCTAACGCTGTGCATGCAGTCGGCGTTGGACTGGAAGTACCGCAGACCATGAACGGTTTTGAAAACTTCTGTCACGTAGTTGTCATCTTTGCTGATGTTTTTTCGAGTCGTCTGGCCAATCAGAATCAAGATTGTTGCCGGAAGTCCCCACGGAGAATAACTTTGCATTAGAACTATTCTTTATACATCCATGGGTACAACTTCAGATACAAATGAACACATAATGAAATATGACCCCCGGTTTGATGATTGACAGGTCACAGAACAATGGGGGCTATCTACCCTAACCCACAATTTAAAGTCATTAACACAGACTCTCTCCTCTGTGCTCTTCTCTCTGTGAGGAGCAGCAAGCTGTCAGAACAAAGTGAAAAACAAACAATGGCATAACATATTATTAATATGTTGGGTAGTAATAGACTTAGTTATTTTCTTCTCAGAGTGTAGCAGAATGCGTGGTTTATATGTTAGTATTTCTAAAAATCTCCCTTAAGGGATATAAGGGATATATGCATATGATATACGATTTATTGACAAAGGACAAAAGTGGGTCCCGAGGCCTGACCAGTTGAGAACCACTGCTCTAAAGTATACGAAGAAGAGTCTCGGAGGAAAAGAAGAGTCTCAGAAAAAGACTCATATATTTCCAGGGTGTCCGCGGGGTCTTAAAAAGTATTCAAAGTTGATAAATCAATTTAGCGAAAATGAAGGCTATTAAAAAGTATTAAAAAGTATTCAATGGTATTTTCCAAGGTATTACATTTTGTAGCTTGTTTTCAATAAGTATATAAATTGTCCAAAGAGGTTGTATTCTACAGTCTGCCTGAATGTAATCATTGCGTAGGTGTGTATTGTGATTCTGTGTAGTTTATTTATGGCATCCCGTTGGATTTGACGTCATCTGAACAGGACATCGCGCTCACTGCTTGATAGCGCGCGAAGGTCAGTTTACGGCGGTTGCTAAGCAACATCGTTATGGGGAAATGCAAGTTTGCGTCCAAATGGTTGGAAGATAAGGAGGAAGGACGATCAATGCTGTATATAGTCAATGTGAGGTAAAGTGTGTCGCCAAGGTAACCGGTTAAAACTCGAAGTGGCGATGAGGTCTTAAAATGTATGGAAAGGGTCTTAGAAAAGGTCTTAAAAGGTCTTACATTTGACTTCAGGATTCCTGCATATACCCTGACTTTATTATAAAATAAAATAATGAAAAAAGTGTTTTTGTTGTAAACGATAGCGCTGCTGTCAGTTAGATTTGTTAGGAATATTAAAGCATCATCAGTGTTTACTACAACTGACCCTCAGATGTGCATAAACTCCAGCTTAGAAACTTGTTTTTTTACATCCCAAAAAGTGAAATCATCAGTTAAATCCATATGGTGCATCCACTCAGGACTCCGCTCAGTTTGCCAAGTTGTGATTTCCTCTTTCTGTCCTCACTCTGTCACTCTCTGAGGTCACAGTTGTTGATTTTCAGCATCGAGGGGCGTACGGTCGTCAGATAAACAGATCCCTCGTGCACATGTGGCCGAGTTAACATGGCGGTTGCTACGGTGTCCATAATTAGAGCCCCTGCATGGTGTAATGACAAGGGGGGGCGCTTCCACTCCCTCTAATCTCCTCCTACATTTCTATTTATTATCCTCATCGTCAGGGAGCATCATCACACTGCTTGTAATCTGCCTCAGGCCCTCAGAGAGATATCTCATGTCTCAGAGAAGCCCCGCCCTCTCCATATGATGATGTGGTCGCAGGGTGGCGCAGTGTGTGGTAAAAACGTGGTTCACCTCAGGGTGCTGTGATGTGGTGGGAAGTAACAAAGTACATTTTGTTTTACTCGAGTACAACGAAATGCACTTTGCATACAACCAGAAAGTGCATGAGGTTTCTGTAAAGTCACATATTCAGAGATTCAAGATTCAAAGGTTTTATTGTCCTATGCACATAAGCTACAGTGTAGAAATGAAAATGAAATTCTTCTGACCTGAAATACAAAATAAAAAGTAGTGCAAGAAGTCTATATACATGTAAATATAATATGATATGTACAAGAACAGAATATGAAATAAAATAATGTAAATTAAGACACAATTAAATACGATTTATTGCGGTGATAACTATTTATATTAATAAGTATATTGTAAGATGAATGTTTATCGGGGCACTTCACAGAGCACAGAACCAGAAAGTGCAAAGAGTAGTAACGTGAGGTTTCAGTAAATCAACATATCAGATCAATGTACATGAATGTATACATATCAATAAATGATTGTGGATAAGGTGCACATTTAGAGCTTACTGTATACATATAAGGTGCAGGGTTTAGGCCTACGTAAGTTAAATACAATTGTAATGAATATTAAATACAGATATTGTTAATGAGTCACTAGGAGTGGATAATGCTACTTCTTCTTCGATTTTGCATTGAAAAACATGTGATAAAACTTCAACATAATGCATCTCCAAAAAACTGTTTAAGGTACCAGCAAGCAAAACTATATAATATATTAAAACATTGTTTGTGTACAGCAGTGAAATGCTGCTTCTATATATTATAAAATATCACATACGGAGGCAATTTACCATGCTTACTTTTTATACTTGAAGTATATCTTCTCTTGAAAAGACTTCTGTAATTTTACTTAAGAATGTGGGATTTTACTTGTAAATAAGAGTATTTTGACGTTAAGGTATTGCTACTTTTACCTCTGATCATAATCCAGTAATTTCATACATATATCTGGTACTGAAATGGGCCTTTAGGCATAACGAGTACTCTTACTTTTGGTACTTTAAGTAGAACTTCATGCCAATACTTTTGGACTTTTGGAACATTTTTCCGCCCAGCATTTCCTTCTCCTCGAAACAGAAAGCATATGTTCACAGTGACCTCACACTCTGAGCCACAACAAGTGTGTGTGTGTGTGTGTGTGTGTGTGTGTGTGTGTGTGTGTGTGTGTGTGTGTGTGTGTGTGTGTGTGTGTGTGTGTGTGTGTGTGTGTGTGTGTGTGTGTGTGTGTGTGTGTGTGTGTGTGTGTGTGTGTGTGTGTGTGTGTGTGTGTGTGTGTGTGTGTGTGTGTGTGTGTGTGTGTGTGTGTGTGTGTGTGTGTGTGTGTGTGTGTGTGTGTGGTGTGTGTGTGTGTGTGTGTGTGTGTGTGTGTGTGTGTGTGTGTGTGTGTGTGTGTGTGTGTGTGTGTGTGTGTGTGTGTGTGTGTGTGTGTGTGTGTGTGTGTGTGTGTGTGTGTGTGTGTGTGTGTGTGTGTGTGTGTGTGTGTGTGTGTGTGTGTCCACCATGTTGCTGCAGTCTTCCTGTTGTCTCCCATAAGCAGATCTGTGATTTATCTCGTGTGCCTAATTCTCTTCACGTGTGAAAGTGTGATCATCACCCCGTTAAACTTTTTTTTGTATCTCCCTCTTTGTGCATGTTGCAGGCTCAGATCCTGCTGGACTGTGGAGAGGACAACATCTGCGTTCCCGACCTGAAGCTGGCCGTTCAGGGGTGAGTCTGCTCATTTCCTTTATGAGACCATGCTCCCCTGGGCACAGACATGCCTCTCACACCTCTCTTACAAAGGAGGTGTGTTTCATAGTTGTTTGAAGACGTTTTGTGTCATTTTGAATACGGGATGAAGGGTTGAAGAAATGGAGGGGTCAAGGGGATGTAGGGAGATGGGAGGAGATGAAGGGAGGAAAGGATACATGGATATAGGGACGATGTTAGGTAGGGAGGAAGGGATGTAGGAAAGAAGGAATGAAGGAATGAATGGATATAGGGAGGAAAGGATGAAGGGTTAAAGGGATCAAGAAAGGGGGGGTGAAGGGTTAAAGGGATGTAAGTAGGAAGGGAAGAAGGGTTGTAGGAAGGGATGGATGAATTGATATAGAGATGTATTGAGGAAGGGATGAAGAAAGGGAGGGATGAAGGGATTTAAGGAAGGAGGGAGGGAGGGATGAAGGGTTAAAGGGATGAAGGCCCGGACACACCAATCTGACACCAAAGAACTGACACAGACGGACCCCGACTGTTGTGTCGCCTCGCGTCTCTGCGTTTTGTCTCCATGTGTCGCACTGGAACACACCGCAAAGACTTCAGCCGACGGCCAAGTTGCACGTACGAACTGCGCATGCGTGAGTGGCAATAACTCTCCTTACCAGCAGGCGGCGGTAGTGTGTATTCGTCATTCAAAAGAGGCAACAACCTGAAGACAGACTGCGTGATACACCGAGAGAAGAAGAACAGACTGCGTGATATAAACAAACAACAAATAGCGTGTGCGTTCCATTTTCACTCTACAGCGAGAAGCTCATGGGGCTTTCCCGAACCTGTGTCGAGAGCTGGAGTTAAATGAAATCTCAGGTTTGCCTTCTTAATAGTTTGTTTGGGTCCCTCACTTCCGTTTCGCTTCTCATGCACTGATTCGCTAAGCTGAACAGCCAATCAGAGTGATTTATTTTGCCCACTGCTGAAAAGACCCGACGGTGCGGGACACACCAATCTGAGTAGGGCGTCTCAACGCTCATCGTCGGCCTGGCGCCCACCGACGCCGATAATCGGCCTGGTGTGTCCGTACCTTAAAGGATGCAGGAAGGAAAGGATGAATGCATATAGGGAGGGAAAGCTCTAGGAATGAAGCGATGTGGGTAGGGAGGTATGGGGGGTCAAAAGGATGTAGGGATTTAGGGAGGGAAGGATGGATGAAGGGTCGAAGGATACATGGATGAAGGTATGCAGGGAGGAAGTGTTGAATGGATGTAGGGAAGGAGTCTCTACTGGTGTGTCTTTGAGTGACACTTTTTGATTGAAGAACGGGAGGCCCTCAACCTTTTTGAGCCCCTGTTCCCCCTGGGGGCCACTATTATTTATCCATCCATGGTGTTGTTATATAATCCTAGAAGTCCCATAGTGAATGCATTCCAGGAAAAATACAAGAGCGATAATACTGCGAACAGGGTCAGTGAACTCCTCACCTTGGATCGAGGTCTAAAGTGTAAATACAGCTGTTTGTGTTGTTCCGCTGCTTTGTTTACGTTAGCATACCAGAGCGAGGCTGCTAATGGCTTCAGAGTCAGAGAACATCGCCCTCTGAAAACAGGAAGTAGCTCTACAGGTGCTTCGACAAACATTAGGAGGAAATACAGGAGAGATGAAGGGAGTGTGTCGCTTCTGAAGCTGTCAGCTGCCTAACTCACTTTAATTCAACAAATCTGTTAGCATTTTTCTCACAAAAAAAACAGCCTCCCTGATACTCCCTTCGCTGCTCTGTCATTTCGATTTCACATTCCTATATTTATCTACCATCTGCCTCCATTTTTTTAATGCATCACATATGGAACAACCTGCTACGAGCTCCATCCACTCCAGAAAGTGTGATTGGTGCAATTTGAAATAATAGTTTTTGTCTGCTCTGTTGTGGATTCTCAGTAAGAGCCGGGTTGTCGGGGGACGGCTGTGATTTAGAGGAATTTCAGATTTAAAAAACAAACCCCTGAAATGTTCTCTTGTTCTGCCAAAGCTCATAACCTGTTCCACCGCGGGTCTCCCAGGGAAGCTTTAAGGTTTTCTGGTGTTTTCTCATTTTGAGCCTTTTGTTTGGTTTGAAAAGTACAAATGCCAGTTAGAATCAGACGGGGGGGTTGAGCTGCAGAAATCTTCTCCTGCGCAGCTTCACAGAGCGGCTGTAATTAAAAGCATCTGTGGGGCCCTGTTAGCGAAATGTTCTCATTGTTTCGAAGCTGTGGAGGGAGTGAGAAAAAGCAAAGGAAGAGTGGAGGTGTTTTACAGTCTTACACCGTGTTATTAAGCATGCATGACTTTATTACCATGTTGGCAGAGGTGCTAAGCTCATTTCAAGTTTTGCACTTAAGTGAAATGTTAAAGGGGCCCTATTATGTTAATTTTCAGGTGTACATCAGTATGTAGTGTCTCTACTTTAAAGAGTCCTCTCCTGCTGATGTTCAGGTGTATATCAGTATGTAGTGTCTCTACTTTAAAGAGTCCTCTCCTGCTGATGTTCAGGTGTATATCAGTATGTAGTGTCTCTACTTTAAAGAGTCCTCTCCTGCTGATGTGCAGGTGTATATCAGTATGTAGTGTCTCTACTTTAAAGAGTCCTCTTCTGCTGATGTTCAGGTGTATATCAGTATGTAGTGTCTCCACTTTAAAGAGTCCTCTCCTGCTGATGTTCAGGTGTATATCAGTATGTAGTGTCTCTACTTTAAAGAGTCCTCTCCTGCTGATGTGCAGGTGTATATCAGTATGTAGTGTCTCTACTTTAAAGAGTCCTCTTCTGCTGATGTTCAGGTGTATATCAGTATGTAGTGTCTCTACTTTAAAGAGTCCTCTCCTGCTGATGTTCAGGTGTATATCAGTATGTAGTGTCTCTACTTTAAAGAGTCCTCTCCTGATGATGTTCAGGTGTATATCAGTATTTAGTTCCTCTACCGGGACATGTCTCCATGCTCTAATGTTCAAAAAAGTTTAAATTGTTCATTGAACCCTCTGAACCATTGAAGTGATAAACCCACTATTCCTTTAAATCAAATTCAACAATTACATTTATATAATTCTGAAATGTGCCGTACTGCATGATTAGTACTTTTACTAGAGTAACATTAGTAGGCCTATTGCTACTTTTATTTGCATGTTAAGAAAGTTGTCCATTAATAGCAAAGCATGAATTCTAATCGTCAAACACGAAGCTGGAAAATGTATTTACATTCCTGAGCCACTCTGACACCATGTTACCTGACCGTTGACCTTATTAGTGTTAAACTCTTTTTTTTCTGCGTTGTGTCCTCAGGAACAGGAAGGAAGTGTACCTGGGTGACGACAACTCGCTGACCTTGACTTTCAACGCCAGGAATGAGGGTGAGGGGGGTGCGTACGAGGCGGAGCTATACGTGGTGCTGCCCCCCGAGGCCGACTACAGCGGCATCGCCAGGAATAATGAGGTGAATATGAAATGATTATAGCCAGAGGCAGAGGTGGGAAGTAGTGGAGTACAAATACTTCGTTACTGTACTTCAGTTCATTGTTCTGGTATCAGTACTTTACTCCACTACTTATTTTTCTGACGACTTTTTACTTTGACTTCTTACATTTTGAACACAAATACCTGTACTTTCTACTTCTTACATTTTGAACACAAATACCTGTACTTTCTACTTCTTACATTTTGAACACAAATACCTGTACTTTCTACTTCTTACATGTTGAACACAAATACCTGTACTTTCTACTTCTTACATGTTGAACACAAATACCTGTACTTTCTACTTCTTACATGTTGAACTCAAATACCTGTACTTTCTACTTCTCACATTTTCCAAACAGGCTGGTTCCTTTAGTTTGAATGTGTGTTTGGTGGCGTGATCATTATTATTTAGAGTCATTGCGTGCCTATTGATTTGAACACGATCCGTGTATCCATCATTTCCTGGTCTTCTCTAAAGAAGAGGGACCAATGAAAACGTTGTCATGTTGCCGTTGTTCAGCATGGAAACATTCATTAGCTAACAATGACATTATTGTTCTATTAATATAAAGGGAGGTCAGGTACTCTTTAAAACAGCTGCTAGTGATGGGTACTTTTTACTGAAGTACATTTCAAAGCCCTCTTTACTTTTACTTGAGTAAAGAAGTTTAGTCAGTACTTCTACTTTTACCAGAGTACTTTTAAACACGAGTATCTGTACTTCTACTTGAGTAAAAGATGTGTGTACTTTTGCCATCTCTGGCCAGAGGAATGTTTCTTATTGATTGTCCTGAGCTGTGGTTTGACACCTCTGTCCTCTGGTTCCTCAGAGCCTGACCCAGCTGACCTGCAGCTATGAGACGGAGAACCAGACCCGGTACCTCAGCTGTGATCTGGGAAACCCCATGAAGTCTGGCATCAGTGTAAGGACACTTTGATTTTCTTTCAAATATTAGCATATTGAATCTATGCAGGGAAAACAATTACAACGGTCTGTTTGAAATATGTAGGTGTTACCATACACAACTGACAAAGGGGAACAACATACTTACATACTTACAGGCCCGGCATATGTACTACAGCGTCTCCAGCGGGTCGAGCGGTCTCGTGTGAAGGGACACATTTATTGAGCCGTATCCGTGTGAACGGAATACTTTTTTGATATCGAATTTGGTTCGTTTCGTTTGCGTTCCCGTGTAAATGGGGTCTAAGACACAGACTTATTGTTCATAATGTAGCACTATCACCTTTGAATGCCCCACCCCCTCAGTTTTGGGCGTGGGTCATCTTTGACCTATGACCCCCCCTGGTGTCAGGCATGCATGGCACTGTACACAACATCATAGTTTCCTGCTCTTTGTAGGGAAAAAAAGCTGCTTTCGTGTCCAGGTTGGGTGTGAAGAACACAGGAAATGTTGTGACAGGAAGTACAGAATCAGACCCGTTAAGGTGCAGTCAAACAAGCTGGCCTGCTTTTGATAGGTAGGAAGACAGTCAAATACCTGGAAGAGAGACAGACATTTAAAAAAGGATTTGTTGTTGTAAATTCTGCCTCAAATCAGTCTGAAATGTTAGCTCACAAAAAGGTAGATACAGAGACTTAATGTGCCAGATTGTGTGGGGAACAAATGGATCTGAAATTATAGTTTTTAGAAAGGGCAAAGTAAGCCACGTTTTAAAGCTGCCCACGTGTCCTGCATCTGTCTGCTGGGTACACGAGGAGTTCACTGACACACCCAAGAAAATCACACATGAATCAGATGATGAGTGCAGTACAGAGGGGAGGAATGGCTGTGGAGCCTTAAAGGAATAGTGAACCACCCAAAGAGTCTAAAATATACACGTCCTATCATAGCTGTACTGCTGTTTATTAATCTAGATAGTTTTGGTGTGAGTTGTCTAGAGTCTGCCTTCTCTCCATTGTGATTATAGTCCTTTAAGCTGAAAAAATTATATTTTGAAAAACGTAAAAACCCTAAAAAAAACATTTTGTTCAGCAGAATAATCTCCACATATTAACCCCACTTTATGATTTTCTTAAGTAAGCTAACGTTAGGCTTTAAAGGAACTACAACACGGTCACGTGACTTCACTTCACCACCGCTAAGCTAAAGGAGGCTAATGTTGGGCTATAAAGGAACTACAGCGCGGTCACATGACTTCACGTCACCACCGCTAAGCTAAAGGGCGCTAATGTTAGGCTATAAAGAAACTACAGCACGGTCACATGACTTCACGTAACCACCGCTAAGCTAAAGGGCGCTAATGTTAGGCTATAAAGAAACTACAGCACGGTCACTTGACTTCACGTCACCACCGCTAAGCTAAAGGAGGCTAATGTTGGGTTATAAAAGAACTACAGCACGGTCACATGACTTCACGTCACCACCGCTAAGCTAAAGGAGGCTAATGTTGGGTTATAAAAGAACTACAGCACGGTCACATGACTTCATGTCACCACCGCTAAGCTAAAGGGCGCTAATGTTGGGCTATAAAGAAACTACAGCACGGTCACATGACTTCATGTCACCACCGCTAAGCTAAAGGGCGCTAATGTTAGGCTATAAAGAAACTACAGCACGGTCACATGACTTCATGTCAACACCGCTAAGCTAAATGTGGCTAATGTTAGGCGTGATGAATGTATCTTGTCCGGTTGTAAAGGAAAGCGCTATGTTATATATTTCTTACGTTAGTTATCCCAGATATTCCAGAGAAATGTGTAATTTTAATCAAAGCGTTTCACGGTCATTGTAGGGAAATTAAAACTCAATCAAGCAGCCTGGGGATGGAGGGAAAAAATCGAAGACATTTCTAATATTAAACACGCAAATTAACTCGAAAAAAACTCGAAAAGCTGGTGTTTCCTTTTAGTTAGTAATTTGTTTAAAAATGATCAAGGTTCAAGGTTCTTTATTGTCAATCTGACATAGCTACAGAGTAATTATGCAGTTGAAAATCTTATGTCACAGGCTTCTCCAACAATGCAACATAATAACATAACATAATAACAATAAGAGCAAGAGCAATACAAAAATAATAATAGTTATAAAAATGAAATAAAGTTATGATGTGGAATAGTGCAGTATGAGTCTATATACAAGTTATTGGAATGATATATATATATTAGGTATTAGATACATACTACTGAGTAGCAGTTGAATGTTTGAAGTTGTTTCAACAGTTCAATTTTTTAACAGTCTCACTGCCCGCGGGAAGAAACTGTCTCCGAATCTTCTTGTCCTTGCCAGGATGCTGCGGTAACGTCTGCCAGACGGCAACAGAAAGAACAGTTTGTGGCTGGGGTGATGGGGGTCTTTGATAATCCGTAGTGATTTCTTCCTGAGCCGCTGGGAGTAAAGGTCCTCCATGGATGGCAGCTCCGTCCTGGTGATGTGCTGTGCAGTTTTCACCACCCTCTGTAAAGCCTTACGATCGAGGTCGGTGCAGCTGCCGTACCAGGCCGTCATGCTGCCAGTGAGGATACTCTCTATCGTGCACCTGTAGAAGTTGCAGAGTATCCTGGAATCCATTTTGAACCTCCTCAACCTGCGGAGGAAGAAGAGCCGCTGTCGAGCTTTCTTGGTGATGGTGGTGGTGTGAAGAGACCATGTCAGGTCCTCAGTGATGTGGACCCCAAGGAACCTGAAGCTTTTGACTCTCTCCACCGTAGTCCCATTGATGGCGATGGGGGCGTGTCCCTCTCCCTGCTGCTTCCTGTAGTCCACAATCAGCTCCTTTGTTTTGCTGATGTTGAGATGGAGGTTGTTCTCCTGGCACCAAGATGTCAGGTTTTCGACCTCCTCTCTGTATGCCGTCTCGTCATCGTCTGTGATCTGGCCGATGACGGTCGTGTCATCAGCAAACTTCACGATGGTGTTGGAGCTGTGTGTGGCCACGCAGTCGTGGGTGAACAGGGAGTAGAGGAGAGGGCTGAGCACGCAGCCTTGAGGGGCACCGGTGTTGAGAATCAGGGTGGAGGATGTGATATTTCCCACCCGCACTGCCTGGGGTCTGCCCGTCAGGAAGTTCAGGATCCAGTCACAGAGGGCGCTGTTGAGCCCGAGGTCTCTGAGCTTGATGGCCAGCTTGGAGGGCACAATGGTGTTGAATGCTGAACTGTAGTCAATGAACAGCATTCTCACATATGTGTTCCTGTTCTTCGGGTCCAGGTGTGAGAGGGCAGTGTGGAGGGTGAGGGCTATGGCGTCGTCTGTGGACCTGTTTGCTCTGTAGGCAAACTGCAGGGGGTCCAGAGATTCAGGGAGGGAGGAGGTGATGAATAATTTGACTAACCGCTCAAAGCACTTCATTATGATGGAGGTGAGTGCTACTGGGCGGTAGTCGTTGGGGCAGGTGATGATTGTCTTTTTGGGGACAGGAATGATGGTGGAGTGTTTAAGACATGTGGGGACTACAGACTGCAGCAGGGACCTGTTGAAGATGTCTGTGAACACCTCTGCCAGCTGAACTGCACACACCCTGAGAACACGGCCAGGGATGCCATCAGGTCCAGGAGCCTTGTGTGGGTTAACCCTTTTAAAGGATTTACACACATCTGCCCTATTTAAAACAAAAGGGCAGTGTAGCTCCTGGTCCCTCTGTACCTCCACAGCCTGGCTGCTCTCAAAGCGTGCAAAAAAACTGTTTAGCTCATCTGGGAGAGATGCGCACGCAGACACTCCCGCAGCACCCCCCGCTGCTCCTTTGTAGTCAGTCATTGTCCTTAGTCCCGCCCACATATTCCTAGTGTTACAGCCTTTGAAGTCAGATTCCACCTTGTCTTTGTACTGTCTCTTTGCATTTTTTATTGCTCTCCGGAGATCATACCTAGACTTCCTGTACTCCTCCAAATCTCCCGCTGTGTGCGCGAGAGTGCGCGCTTTCAGTTTGCCGCGCACCTCACCGTTCATTAATAAATCTGTTTGTTTCCTCCCTGCAGCTGTGGGCAGGTCTGCGCTTCACGGTGCCGCGGCTGAAGGACACACACAAAACGGTTCAGTTTGAGATGCAAATCCGCAGGTACAACACACACACTTCAAATATCTGTGTCTTATGTGTGTATTCTGGTGCGGGCGTGCAGAATGAAAACTCAATTTCTTTCCTCTTTCCACAGTAAAAACGAGAATAACTCTCACAGTGAGGTTGTGCCGTATAAACTGGAGGTGGAGGTTCAAGCTGAAGTCATTCTGCAGGGGTGAGTCGAGTGTTTCCTCATTTCAACTTTTCATTAGGTGTCTTCCTAGGGTTTTTTCTCACATCCACACTTTCTCTTTTTTAGCGTTTCCCGGCCAGATAAGGTCTTCTTCCCGCCGGTCAACTGGAAGCTGACCAAGAACTACGAGGTGGAGCAGGATGTGGGGCCGCCAGTGGAGCACATCTTTGAGGTAAAACATGTTTATTACCCGTTGAGAAATCAAGGGAAATCAAAGAAAGTGTACTCTAGTGAGATTAATGCTAATGTATATCCCTTTTGTGAGATTTTACGCATTAGAAAGACTTAAAGGTCCCATGTCATGCTTTTCTGGTTATTACCCGTCCCCTTGTGTGTTATGAAGGTTTTTCTGCATGTAAACGGTCTGCAGAGTCACAAACCCTCAAAGTACACCCTGTAGCGAGTAAAACTCTAACACAGAAAAGACCTGTCTATGCTGCCCCAGAACGCCTCGTTGGACATTTCTCTTTTTCCATTGTTTACTTCTTGGGTATAGTGACGTATTTCGGGTATAGTGACGTAACGTAACGGAGCCGTTACGTTTGGACCAATCCGAGGACTTCCTCACACACACACACACACACACACACACACACACACACACACACACTCGGCGGGACGTTGCGAGGCTCGCTGCAGCAAGGAACGGGACACTGTGAGCTGGCTCAAGGGTGTGGGGTCGGCGAGAAAGCGAGACACCGCGGAACTCAGCCTGGGCACACACACACACTCCCAGCCAGGCTGCGGGTGTGTGTGTGTGTTTGGGGCTGGGTTTCGCTGTCTCGCAGACGGCCACTGGGCTCACAGGGAGGGGGTGGGGGGGCAGGAGCTCCAACAAGCCGTTTAGGACAGAGAGTGAATACACGTACTATACAGAGATGCTGTATGAGAAACCAATGTGATTTTGGAAAATTGCACAATATAATTTATTCTAGTATACCTCAACAATGGAATTATGATCAGTAGAGATGGCCATGACATGGGACCTTTAAAACGATGTTATATATTTAGTTGAGTTGTGTATTTTAATTAGCCAATATCTCATGGGTATTTTTCATAAATCTACAGATGCATTTCAGGGTTATTGTAGGAAAATAAAAAACGATTTAAAGATCAAGGAGCCAAGCGAGGAAAATTTGAGATTATAGTGATTTATTTCGAGGCAAAAAACTCACATTTATGAGAAAAATCTAAGACATTTTCTGAAGATTTTTATTTTTTTTTATTCACGAAACCTTATTGCTTTCTGACATATTTTACCACTTTCATTTCAGAGAATATATTCCCTCATGTTGTCTCTGTGATATTTCCCACTGTGGTTTCCTCTGGTCTCCTGTACTGGCATTGTATCCCAGTTGAGCCTGCGTTAGCGTTAGCTGCCAAAAGCTGTCATACATTTAATTTTCTTCAGGTTTTAAGCCTCATTTTTCCCCAAACACTTTTTAGATCTTGGTGCTTTTAACCCGAGAAACAGGCTGAGTTATGGTAGCAGCAGCCTAACATCGTGCAGTGAGAAAGTGTTTTTATCGCTTTATATCAGAGAGAAGGAGGGGACGCTAAAAACCTCTTGAAGCATCAACACTGAAGGAATCCTAATGGCCTTCATAATTACATAATGTCGGCTTAATAGCACTCTACTTTAGGCGACCTATAAGCAAATATGTGAAATATGAAAATGTCATCATGGGAAAACATCTGTTGCTGCCTCTCAGCAAACTATCTTTTTGAAGTTCCCTAATACTCCACATACTGAAGGTTCCTGTTAATTTCCTCCTTCCTGCAGCTGGTGAACAACGGGCCGAGTCGGATCAGCCACACTCTGCTGGAGCTGCGCTGTCCAATCAGAATCCAGGGCCAGATGCTGCTCTACCCCCTCAGCTTCTCCACCGAGGGACCAATCAACTGCACCGCCGACAGGAACATGAACCACCAACGCCTCAAGGTGAGTGTGTCACATGCAGGTGGAGATATGAGGTGGAGATATGAGGAGCACACTTACTGTTGAATCCTGGTAAACTGGTTGTTTTTGAGGTATAAATTCAGCTTAAGTCAAAATGCTTCGGTTATATGTTTCACTAAATGCAACATCTGCATTACGCTGTGTGTGTCAAACGTTAGCTTTGTACTCCAGAAATCATAAAGTGGTGTTAATATGTGGAGATTATCCTGCGTGTAAGAATCATAAACGTTTGAGGTTATTTTCTGCAATGATCCGAAGTCCAAAGGGGGAAAATCCCATTGGCTTTTTTGTGGAGGGAACCAAGGAGATGCTGCCTTCAGGCTCCAACACAGAAATACGACATCACAACATCCCTGCAGAATTTGATTTATGTTGTTGTTATTAATATACTTCTGGGTTCATGGGTTTTCCCGGGTTTAAACGCCGATGCCCACCTCTCTGTCTCAGGGTCACATGAGGTCGATCCCCACCCGTCTGCATGATTAAAAGTTAAAATCCACACCCTCCTCCTCCTCCTCAGCCCCACCCAGGACACTCGCCCCACCACCACTTTGAAGTTTCAGCTCTTCCCTTTTCCTCAGAGACGTTTTGATGCACCACCTCACCCAGAAATCACTCAGAAAAAGGCGCACCCCTTTACATTAGCTGTAGCCGCGGGGGGTATTTTGTTTGTGTTTACATCCGAAGCTTGACATATGCTTTGAGAGGTGGTCATCTGTCTTCATGTTCTTTTTTGCTCCCTGGTGAATTTCTAAGTGCGGCTCACATGCTTCTGATTAATGACCAGAAGCCTCGGGGGGGGTCATGCTAACGCTATATTGACAGAGAGGGAGGTGTGTTCTTCTGCCTGCTGAGGTCACAGTGTGTGTTGTGCTAACGTGTGTGTGTGTGTTGTCTTTTAGCTCCAGCGCACTTCAACAGAACCTCCTATCCTGGCCCTGAAGGCACCGGAGCACCACGTCGAGAGAAGGGACGTCCACAAGAACCAACTCGCGCATTTAACTAACCTGGTAAGACTAAAAAAAAAAGTTGAAATGCACTCATCAGCTTTTTCTTTGGGGCTTTTTATGCTTCCTTAACATGTCTGCTTTCAGACTAGTGGAAATAAAACATCCAAAATCCACATTTAGGAGTTTATTTTAGTAACTTTGTCCGTTTGTGCCTGTAGATTTCTCCTAAATTCACCAAAAGAGAGTATTACAAAACGCCTCATTTGCATATTTAAACATGCCATTTCAGAAAACTTGTAATATAAAAAATAATTGTGTTAATGTCAGTGATGAAATGGGAAGGTTTCATGGTGATATCTGTTAGTTAAATGTTTTACCCTATTCACGTCCTATACGAGTTTACAATGCAGATTTTTAAAGGCCGTTTCCTCCAGAAGAGCTTTATTTTCTAAAATATATAACTTTAATCAGCTTTTCTCCTTTAAATATTAATGATACTCAAACTAAATTAGATAGATTGTCTGTTTTGATCATATTTTCGCCTAAAATATCAAACTTCCTGTTGGATTAATACGACTTTTTTCCACTAAATGTCCGACTTTAGTAGCACTTACACCTCTTTCCCTCCTCGCTATATTCTGAAGCTTTTTACACACCATTCACACACTCATGTACACACACTTTGTCAAGAAAAACATGCAGAAAATGACTTTTTATGGCAGTATTTTCTGATTTATGGAGTGTTGCAAAGAGACTCCCTCTGTCCAAACCTGTGACTGTAATGTCAACAACATTTTGAACCGTGCTGGCTGCAAACCTGCACATATTCAATAAATAAACCACCTCACTTGTACATTTCATTTGAGGGAATTGTCACTTTCTTTAGAGTTTAACACACGGGTGGACTTTATCTTGAGTTTAAAAGGTGAAGTTTAATGTGATCTGTGAGTTGAAAGTGAGAAAATGAGCAGCGTGAGTTTACAGTTAGGAGTTAATGTTGTTATGTGGTTAAAATAATTATGTGTGTCTCTTACACAGCTGAAGGTTTAACAATATATAAAGTGTGCGGGTCTGGATCTATTTTGGGGACGTTGCCCCTTCATGAGGCCCCTGGGATTGGATAATTAGGTTCTGATGTCGTTAAAAGGAGGAGGGGTTAGAGGTCAGGCTGGGGTGATTAACATTAAAGAGCCTTTAGTAGTGGTAGAGAGGGGGGGGGGGGCTTTCTGTCAGTGATGCACTGCTTACTTCACTGGCTGCTCTGTAATTTTAGGCTATTGGTGTTGTGAGTCATCCTTAAAACCCGCCTTCCAGCTGCAGGTGGCTTCTCTGTCCTTTGTTTCAGTAAAACTAGAAATACTTTTGCCTAAAATACTCTCACGCAGCCTGAATAAAACATGTGAGGACATATAATGCTCATGTTCAGGTCAGTATGTAGTGTCTCTACTTTAAAGAGTCCTCTCCTGCTGATGTTCAGGTGTATACCAGTATGTAGTGTCTCTACTTTAAAGAGTCCTCTCCTGCTGATGTTCAGGTGTATATCAGTATGTAGTGTCTCTACTTTAAAGAGTCCTCTCCTGCTGATGTTCAGGTGTATACCAGTATGTAGTGTCTCTACTTTAAAGAGTCCTCTCCTGCTGATGTTCAGGTGTATATCAGTATGTAGTGTCTCTAATTTAAAGAGTCCTCTCCTGCTGATGTTCAGGTGTATATCAGTATGTAGTGTCTCTACTTTAAAGAGTCCTCTCCTGCTGATGTTCAGGTGTATATCAGTATGTAGTGTCTCTACTTTAAAGAGTCCTCTCCTGCTGATGTTCAGGTGTATATCAGTATGTAGTGTCTCTACTTTAAAGAGTCCTCTCCTGCTGATGTTCAGGTGTATATCAGTATGTAGTGTCTCTACTTTAAAGAGTCCTCTCCTGCTGATGTTCAGGTGTATATCAGTATGTAGTGTCTCTACTTTAAGAGTCCTCTCCTGCTGATGTTCAGGTGTATATCAGTATGTAGTGTCTTTACTTTAAAGAGTCCTCTCCTGCTGATGTTCAGGTGTATATCAGTATGTAGTGTCTCCACTTTAAAGAGTCCTCTCCTGCTGATGTTCAGGTGTATATCAGTATGTAGTGTCTCTACTTTAAAGAGTCCTCTCCTGCTGATGTTCAGGTGTATATCAGTATGTAGTGTCTCTACTTTAAAGAGTCCTCTCCTGCTGATGTTCAGGTGTATATCAGTATGTAGTGTCTCTACTTTAAAGAGTCCTCTCCTGCTGATGTTCAGGTGTATATCAGTATGTAGTGTCTCTACTGTGACATTTAAGCACCTCTCATTGGCCGCTTCTGCAAACCCCTGCACAGAATCTGCACCAAAAGGCATATATTAACAACTTATTAACATGCGACTGCAGACTCTATTATGAAATCTGTACCCGGCTATTTACTCCTGAATGATTAGGATCATTTTAAACTGCAGTATTATCAGATACAGTATCTACAGTGTGCAGCAGCTGAGGCCAGTTGTTGCAGGAAGCTGTGGGAAAAGCTCCAGATCTCGACCACTTAATCCCTCCAGAGAGGAAACGTGGCCCCGGGGTCTGAAATATCTTTGGCTCCTCTCCATGCTCATGTCATTTCCACCGAGCGGGGCCACGGAGGTCCTTTAGGAGGGAGGAAGTGGACGGATACGCTCCTGTCTGTCTGAATCCCCTCATTAAGTCTGTGGGACGGAGCCTTAGGAAACTCCTCTCTGCAAATAAGTAAACCCATGCAGAACTCTCCCTGTTCAGGTCCATCGTATTTACCTCTACCTTCAAGGTCACCTATTATGCAAAATCCACTTCCTCATGTCTCTTCTACATCAACATGTGTCCCCTCTTCTTCATGTCTCTCCTACATCAACATGTGTCCCCTCTTCTTCATGTCTCTTCTACATCAACATGTGTCCCCTCTTCTTCATGTCTCTTCTACATCAACATGTGTCCCCTCTTCTTCATGTCTCTTCTACATCAACATGTGTCCCCTCTTCTTCATGTCTCTTCTACATCACCATGTGTCCCCTCTTCTTCATGTCTCTTCTACATCAACATGTGTCCCCTCTTCTTCATGTCTCTTCTTCATCAACATGTGTCCCCTCTTCTTCATGTCTCTTCTACATCAACATGTGTCCCCTCTTCTTCATGTCTCTTCTACATCAACATGTGTCCCCTCTTCTTCATGTCTCTTCTACATCAACATGTGTCCCCTCTTCTTCATGTCTCTTCTTCATCAGCATGTGTCCCCTCTGTGTAAAGAGACTCTGAAAGTTTCAGGAACAAAGATTCTCTCTCTTTTTGTCCTGATCCATTTCTATAAAAACCTGTCTGAAAATGAGCTGATCAGATTTTGGCCACTTTGTGATGTCATAACGATGTTTTGTCTTGTGTAACCATTAGCCAATCACCAACCAAGGTACCCCCCCCCCCCCCCCCCCTTATCACCTGAATCTCCTCCTAGAGCACCATTGAGTTCTTTGTAACTAAATCTCTCTCAGAGGGGCGTGGGGAGGGGCTCCTTATTTTCATCTAAAGTAACAGACAGAGAATCAGCACTTTTGAAACAGGGCTGAAACAGAGGGGATTATGGGTAATGCTGCAATGATCTGTTTGGTGTTTCAGCCAATCAGAGACAGGTTCTGTATATATCTGAGACCTATAATATATTGATGAGAAACAGTATAATAGGGGACCTTTAAAGTAGATTTGGACAAGGGATCCAAATCCAAATTGTTCATTTGTGTGACGCTGTTCCAACAAAGCTGTTTTTAAAACGCTTAGTCCTTCCCTCCTCTCAAACCCACGCTGCTGAATGTGCCGGGCTGCATTATGAGGAGCTAATTGAAAGTGTGTATGAGGAAAAGGGGAGGCGGGCGGTAATGTGCGCGCTGCATTTCTACAGTCTCATGACATTCCTCCGGTCTAATTCAAAGCAGGCGTGGAGTAGTGTCAGAACATTGGAACATGGCTCTGATTCCTCCTCTCCATATCTGTCCTGCCAGATTTCACTTCTCTCTGTGCAGCTTTTGGGGCAATAAAACCCTTTAGAGATTCTGTGTATGCACAAAAAAGGATCTTAACAGAACTAATTGGGCTTTTAATTAACCCATTGCTGCCCAGAGACTCTGTCTTATATTTTAAACCTATGTTTAGAGTGATTAATAGATGTTTTGGGACCATATGCTCTAGGTTATTTGGTTAGGGTTAGTGTTTTTATATTTTCAGTTTAGTGTCTCTATTCTCAACCTCAGGGTGTCCATTTTCACATATCTGCATTCTGTGTTATGAGAGCAGCAGAGAGCGTTCATACTTTTAAGAAACAAGACCCACTTTTTTTATTTGGCTTGTCCTTATTTTCTTCTTAGTTAATATTTCTTCCTTCTCTTTTTCCTCTTATTTAATTCTTAATTAGATTCTTATTGATAAATTGTGTTCTTATTTGTACTCTTATTTAATTATCTTAAGTTTTAGGTTTGTGAATCACTGTTTCAAAAGTACTGAAGTTTGTTTTCTAAACTCATGATATGATAAATATTAAAAAAATGCCCCCCCCCCCCCCCCCTCTCTCTCCTCTGTGTTTCTGTAGTCCTGCTCGAACACTGAGTGCTGGGCGCTGCAATGCACTGTGGGTATTCTGGAGAAAGGAACCACCGCCATCCTCAAAGTGCGATCAAGAGTCTGGGCTGAGACGTTCACTGAGGTCGGTAACACGCACACACACGCACGCACGCACGCACGCACGCACGCAGGATAGTACTACTGTATAAGACCTGAGGGATCTAAAGGGTTAATAGGTTAAAAGCAAATCTGATTAAATAACTATGCCCAAGACCATCAAGAGCTTTAAAAAACAATAAAAGTCATTTCAACTTTTCACATTTTCACAGAGAATTTGGAAGAATTTTCCCGGCGACAGGGTTTCATTCATCTGTTTTACACCTGAAAAATGTCGAGATGAAGGATTTTTATAAAGATTTATCATAAACACAGGACCGTTTAATCAGATTTAGAAAATAAATCAGCAATATGTTATTCTTTTCTAAAACTAACCCATAATAATGAAGCATGGAGAGTAGCTGCAGGACTCAGCGCTGTCAGTCTGCACAGTCTCACATAGTTTCTCCTGACGAATGGGAACAGTTGCTATCTAAGAATCTGCAGACTGCACTTTCTACGTGTTTACATTTCTCTTCTGTCTGACATGCTTTAAACAAACTCCTGACCTCTGCATGCTGAGGGACATGAAGCTTAGAATCAATGATCTGCAGAGGTGGGAAGTAGTGGAGTACAAATACTTCGTTACTCTGGTATCAGTACTTTACTCCACTACTTATTTTTCTGACGACTTTTTACTTTGACTTCTTACATTTTGAACACAAATACCTGTACTTTCTACTTCTTACATGTTGAACACAAATACCTGTACTTTCTACTTCTTACATGTTGAACACAAATACCTGTACTTTCTACTTCTTACATGTTGAACACAAATACCTGTACTTTCTACTTCTTACATGTTGAACACAAATACCTGTACTTTCTACTTCTCACATGTTGAACACAAATACCTGTACTTTCTACTTCTTACATTTTGAACACAAATACCTGAACTTTCTACTTCTTACATGTTGAACCCAAATACCTGTACTTTCTACTTCTTACATGTTGAACACAAATACCTGAACTTTCTACTTCTTACATGTTGAACACAAATACCTGTACTTTCTACTTCTTACATGTTGAACACAAATACCTGTACTTTCTACTTCTTACATGTTGAACACAAATACCTGTACTTTCTACTTCTTACATGTTGAACACAAATACCTGAACTTTCTACTTCTTACATGTTGAACCCAAATACCTGTACTTTCTACTTCTTACATGTTGAACACAAATACCTGAACTTTCTACTTCTTACATGTTGAACACAAATACCTGTACTTTTTACTTCTTACATGTTGAACACAAATACCTGTACTTTCTACTTCTCACATGTTGAACACAAATACCTGTACTTTCTACTTCTTACATGTTGAACACAAATACCTGAACTTTCTACTTCTTACATGTTGAACCCAAATACCTGTACTTTCTACTTCTTACATGTTGAACACAAATACCTGAACTTTCTACTTCTTACATGTTGAACCCAAATACCTGTACTTTCTACTTCTTACATGTTGAACCCAAATACCTGTACTTTCTACTTCTTACATGTTGAACACTAATACCTGTACTTTCTACTTCTTACATGTTGAACACAAATACCTGAACTTTCTACTTCTTACATGTTGAACCCAAATACCTGTACTTTCTACTTCTTACATGTTGAACACAAATACCTGAACTTTCTACTTCTTACATGTTGAACCCAAATACCTGTACTTTCTACTTCTTACATGTTGAACCCAAATACCTGTACTTTCTACTTCTTACATTTTGAACACAAATACCTGTACTTTCTACTTCTTACATGTTGAACTCAAATACCTGTACTTTCTACTTCTTACATTTTGAACACAAATACCTGTACTTTCTACTTCTTACATGTTGAACTCAAATACCTGTACTTTCTACTTCTTACATGTTGAACTCAAATACCTGTACTTTCTACTTCTTACATGTTGAACACAAATACCTGTACTTTCTACTTCTTACATTTTGAACACAAATACCTGTACTTTCTACTTCTTACATGTTGAACTCAAATACCTGTACTTTCTACTTCTTACATGTTGAACTCAAATACCTGTACTTTCTACTTCTTACATGTTGAACACAAATACCTGTACTTTCTACTTCTTACATGTTGAACCCAAATACCTGTACTTTCTACTTCTTACATGTTGAACCCAAATACCTGTACTTTCTACTTCTCACATGTTGAACACAAATACCTGTACTTTCTACTTCTTACATGTTGAACTCAAATACCTGTACTTTCTACTTCTTACATGTTGAACTCAAATACCTGTACTTTCTACTTCTCACATGTTGAACCCAAATACCTGTACTTTCTACTTCTTACATGTTGAACCCAAATACCTGTACTTTCTACTTCTTACATGTTGAACCCAAATACCTGTACTTTCTACTTCTTACATGTTGAACACAAATACCTGTACTTTCTACTTCTTACATGTTGAACACAAATACCTGTACTTTCTACTTCTCACATTTCCCAAACAGGCTGGTTCCTTTAGTTTGAATGTGTGTTTGGTGGCGTGATCATTATTATTTAGAGTCATTGCGTGCCTATTGATTTGAACACGATCCGTGTATCCATCATTTCCTGGTCTTCTCTAAAGAAGAGGGACCAATGAAAACGTTGTCATGTTGCCGTTGTTCAGCATGGAAACATTCATTAGCTAACAATGACATTATTGTTCTATTAATATAAAGGGAGGTCAGGTACTCTTTAAAACAGCTGCTAGTTATGGGTACTTTTTACTGAAGTACATTTCAAAGCCTCTTTACTTTTACTTGAGTAAAGAAGTTTAGTCAGTACTTCTACTTTCACCAGAGTATTTCTAAACACGAGTATCTGTACTTCTACTTGAGTAAAGGATGTGTTACTTTTGCCATCTCTGGTTGTGATGATGGAGATTTATTTAAAGAAGTCTCTGTCGCCTCCTAGTGTCTGACGGCTGGATTGCATTCATTGTTTTAATCATTTCTCCAACATCTGCCCCGTGTAGAGAGCGTACAAACACTACGTGCTGGAGTGTCTCGCCCAATACAGCGTGGAGAAGATGCCGTACGCCATCGCCCCAAAACACGCCCCCAGCGGACACAAAAAGGTATTTTACATGTCATTTTCCAGTCAGATCATAATCAGATATATTTCATTTTTTAAATGTAAGGCTACAGTCATTAGTTGACTAATTATTTTGTCCATTTGGAGGAAAATAATGCACATTTTGATCATAATTGATTGTTTTTCATGCAAGAAAATGCCGTTTTTAGCCTCTCAAACCTGCCTTTAATTTGCACTTTATTTTATTTTGCATACTTATTGTAAATAGTATCTTTCACTGTCGACATGCATACCTTTTTAATGTATTTTTTCTTTTTTATATTGTTAATATGGATATTTTTACTGTTTATTTTCTATTTTATTTCATTTTTAATTCATGTGCAAAGCCTTGTTTATATGCTGCTGTGCCAAAATCATAATAAAGTATGTTTAATCTTAATTCATATCATTTAAAAGTGAATATATGTGAGTTTTGGACTGACATCAGATATTTAGAGACATCCCCTCGGACTTTGAGAAACTAGGATGGACGTTTGTCACTATTTTCTCCCATGTTGTCGACCATGAATTGATGAATCTAGGAAACAATCATTAGTCTATATGAGTTAAACTGATACACTGTGATGTTTCCTCAGGTTGTGACCCCGCTGGTGTGGAATAAGCCGGACATAGAGAACTCGGTTCCTCTGTGGATCATCATCCTGGCCATTTTAGCAGGTTTACTGCTGCTGGCTCTGCTCATCTACGTCCTGTACAAGGTCAGTGACAATATAGGTGGACAATCAATACTGTGTATAGTCAATGTGAGGTAAAGTGTGTCGCCAAGGTAACCGGTTAAAACTCAAAGTGGCGATGAGGTCTTAAAATGTATGGAAAGGGTCATAGAAAAGGTCTTCAAAGGTCTTACATTTGACTTCAGGATTCCAGCATATACCCTGTTCTTTATATGCTCAAGCTTTTCACACACTCATTTATACACACTTAAATACTAAAAACAGTATTTCATTCACTTTTTAGCTTCCATAACATGTCTTCTTTCAGACTAGTGGAATTAAAACATCCACAATTAGGAGTTTATTTTACTAACGTCTGTTTGTGTCTGTACATTTCTCCTAAATTCACCAAAAGTTAGCATTACATGATGCCTCATTTGCAGATTTTAACAAAAAATGTCAACAAACATATCTCTGAGATTCGGATTGTGAGTTGGACAGAAGAACACATTTAAAGATGTCAGGATTAGCAATTATTTGACTTTTTCTGACATTTTATGGACCAATCATGTCGTTCATGTCTCAGTTTACCGAACTACAACAATATTAATCTTTAATATTTTTTAATGCATGCTTCTTGGGTAACATTAAGCTGTCTTTGTCTCTTTTCTTGCTGTAACAAATGCAAATTTCCCCTCTGTGGGACGAATATAGGGATTCTGATTCTGATGTTATGTATATCACAGAGAGTCATGCAGTAAATGATGTTTTTAGGGCTGTTTTCTGATTTATGGAGTGATTTCCTATGTAAAAACATGTCAACAAAATGAAACAAGAATTTTTAACCTGGCTTTATCCAGTGTTCACATTTCTGTTCTGGATAATAACTTAAAGGGGACCTATCATGCAAAATGCACTTTGGTACGTCTTTTCTACATGAATATGTGTCCCCGGTGTTCCAGGGAACTCACCAAGTGTCAGAAAACACAACCCTCTCTATTTTCCTCCATACCCAAATCTCTAAAAAAGGGGCTGCAACGGATCTGATAAAAACTGATCCAGATTTGAACACTGTCCTGACGTCAGGACGGTGGCGCTACGGCTATTGGGCCAACTCCACCAATCAGGAGGAGACAGCCACGGCAATTGCCGTTCGAAAGCGCTGTAGTACATATGCCAGGCCTCTAGATGGTGCTGTTCTCACTGAATCTGCCCTTGCTAAAACAGAGCTATAAATTGTCAAATTGAGCGAAATGAGGCATGGCTAAAATGCATGATCTGTTTGGTATTTTGAAAAAAAAAAAGTATAAATATGCCTTTATATAGGTATGGTCCCTACACTATATTATTCAAATATAGCATGATAGGTCCACTTTAATTTTCACCTTATTAATCCGCACAGTCTCCCTTTTTTAAAGCTCTTGTCTCCGACTGAAGTGATGAAGTCTGTGCTGTTTTCTAATTCCTTCTTTCTTTATGATTGTTTTCTTGCAGTTCGGCTTCTTTAAGCGCTCTCTCCCGTACGGCACGGCGATGGAGAAGGCTCAGCTGAAGCCTCAGGCTGCGTCCGAGGCGTAACGCAGAACCACAGGAACCACAGGAACCGGCCGTATGATTGCAACGAGAAACACGATGAAGAGTGGATCAGAAAGAGATTTAAGAGATAAAGAGACACCACTGGAAACTCCACTGTGCTGCACTACAGGAAAAACCCAAAGATCTCCAAAGCCAAATGAATGTTTTTATTTCTTTTTTAACTTATGTCGGCAGAACTGTTTCTCACTGAGAATGAGCGACAGGAAGGTGACTGCAGAGAGATGCTTTTACTCTGGTGCTAATGATCTCACAGGTTACATGCAGGAGCTGTGAATTACGCCGCGTGCAGAGACCCTGAAGTATCCTTCTGGTATCTCCTGAACACGTGGTTTTTACAGACGGATGATCGGATTGTTTTCAGGTGAAAAAGTCGACATTACTGGCCTACACGTCGGACCTGAATCTGTTCAATTGCTCGGCTTTTATCACATTTTTCCCAAGAAGCATCGGTTCTTTAACGATCGATGCAAACGGCTGGAGGACGGCGCTGCGTTGAGATGTGTTTGCACTCGAAGGAAATCTACTGATTTATTCCAGAGAAACTTCAGAGTTGACTGGCTGACCTTCCTTTGAGAGTTTAGCTCCTACTGATCACTTTGTTTGAACCCTCGCGCTCATGTTCAGAGTCTGCCATGCCTGCAGCATCATGGGGGGGTGCACCTCACAGCGGGAAGAAGAGAGGATATGTGCAGGAAGTGACGCTGAGGTGAAGCACGGGGGGGGGGATGTCTCCACCCGAAGACAATCAGCGATGTTGTAGCTCGTTGCAGACAGATTTAGTTGTAGGGTCTGTGTTCACATAATGCCTTTTTCTGCTCCCAGCGTCTCATCCAGAGTTGTTTTTTTATTGCTTCAATGACACTGACATCTTGACAAAATATCACAGGAGATAGTAAGTCGGACTAGCTTCTCCCCCTTGGATTTAATCATCTGTTTCTGCTACTATATATTAGTTTGACGAGTTTTCTCACCTTACGCAGCATACACAACATGCTTGCTTTTACACTTTGTCTGAATGCGCTCAGTCTGAGAGCTGTAGCGCGAGGAGGACGAGTTTTGTACTGATTTAACCTTCACACACTCACCGTCAGCAACATCTAGTGTCCAGGATAAGAAACCAGGCTTGTTGGTCTTTATGATAATTCCCGGCTGAAGACACAGTTAAAAACAAGCTTTTTATCCAATTTCTGCTGCGACATCATCTGCATTTATCTAAGAAGTTGAAATAACTCGGAGAAGCTGCAAAAAAATGGCGAAGCGCTAAGAAAAAAGTCGCTATGTGGAGCGTCAGATTCGGCCGTATTTGATGGCATGTTCTCATTGAAGTCATTGAAAAAAGACGCCGGTGCTCAGAAAAAGGTGCCATGTGGACTAGAGAGGAGGCGGGGTCTCCAGGGTTGCACGATAACACGTCTCCACTTTGCGATAAATCCCAGAAAAAGACATTGCATGTAGAGTTTTTTTTCCAATATCGTGCAGACCCTCCCTCAGTTTGCAGTGTGTTGCTGTGAGAAACTGTAATCCTGACTGTCTGCCCACCTTCAGAAAGAGAAGAGAGAGAAAGAGAAGAGACCATCCCAGACGCTGCAGGGACTGAACGGAAAAATGCATCTTGTTGTCGTGTACATAGATGTTATGTGCCTTAAATGTAAATACTGAGGGTTACAGGAGTGTGTGTGTGTGTGTGTGTGTGTGTGTGACTTCATGCGGACATGCATTTGTGTGAATGGGATATTTATGAATGTGTGTTCTGTGTATGCATTGGTTTGTACCCTTGTAACAACACATTAAGTAACAATTACACACAATGCAATACAGTTTTACTTCATTATGTATTCATCTGCTGCATTTTTTAATAGATTGTTATGCATTGCAGTGGTGATTTCAGTTTAAAAAAAAATTGTTTTAATTAAATTGCAATAATCTAAAATGTTGTAACAACGCTGCAGATGTTATTGTTTACTGTACAGTAAGTACATGTACTCAAGTACTTCACTTAAGTACCACTTTGACATACTTGTACTTGAGTATTTCCATTTCATGCTACATAACATTTTACTCCAGTACATTTTGGAGGCAAAATATTGTACTTTTTTCTCCATTTCTTAGTTATTATTATTATTATTAGATATTTTAAAGATAAGATGCAGTACTGTGCTACAAACATACATGTAGTGTCTCTACTTTAAAGAGTCCTCTCCTGCTGATGTTCAGGTGTATATCAGTATGTGGTGTCTCTACTTTAAAGAGTCCTCTCCTGCTGATGTTCAGGTGTATATCAGTATGTAGTGTCTCTATTTTAAAGAGTCCTCTCTTGCTGATGTTCAGGTGTATATCAGTATGTAGTGTCTCTATTTTAAAGAGTCCTCTCCTGCTGATGTTCAGGTGTATATCAGTATGTAGTGTCTCTACTTTAAAGAGTCCTCTCCTGCTGATGTTCAGGTGTATATCAGTATGTAGTGTCTCTACTTTAAAGAGTCCTCTCCTGCTGATGATCAGGTGTATATCAGTATGTAGTGTCTCTACTTTAAAGAGTCCTCTCCTGCTGATGTTCAGGTGTATATCAGTATGTAGTGTCTCTACTTTAAAGAGTCCTCTCCTGCTGATGATCAGGTGTATATCAGTATGTAGTGTCTCTACTTTAAAGAGTCCTCTCCTGCTGATGTTCAGGTGTATATCAGTATGTAGTGTCTCTACTTTAAAGAGTCCTCTCCTGCTGATGTTCAGGTGTATATCAGTATGTAGTGTCTCTACTTTAAAGAGTCCTCTCCTGCTACAAACATACCCAGTATTTTCAGAGTTAGTAAATTGGCGCCACACTACAAAAATAAATACGATACGCACAATACTCCTACATGTATTTGTTAGTTAAAAAACTGGTTAATATAATATCCGAATACTACAGCGGAGTACTTTTACCTTTTAAGGTCATTTTGCTCATATGTACTTCTACTTTAGTAACTTCTTCATTACTTGAAACAGTATTTTAAAACCATAGTATGTCTACTTTTACTTAGGATCTGAGTACTTCCTCCTCCACAGTCCTTTTTAAAGTGCAGTAGATTATTACAAAATGAAGTAAATGTATTGAACTTTGTGCCGTTTTTTCTTACATAATGTGTTGTTAAAACTCTTCCCACTGCTCAGCCCTGTTCACCCCTTCACCTCTGTGTCTGATGTTAAATGATTCTCCATTAATGTCGGTCATCATGCAGTGGAAGCTCAGGACGATTTGTCTTTTCTGCAACACAGTTCAAACATTTACAAACCTCATTGTAAATCCAAAGAAACGTGTGTAAGAATTCACCTAATGCAGCTCGATTCTGGTTCAATATGTCTTGGTTCTTCCGGTTTAGCACGAGCAGCTTTGTAAACGATTGGATCATTCACAGCTGTACTGCGGGGATCACAGCTTCTATCCTCTGTCAGTGGCTCTGAAATGTTGGCTATCTTTCTAGCTATGGTCAAATTAGTGGCGCTCATAATTTAAATTGGGATTTTAATTATAAACGCCCTATGGTTAGACATGCAGTGCGGAAACAACATGGTTGACGTGTTTTCTTTAAGGGTTAGCTTAATAGCTCATGACAGCTCCAAACATCGCTTTTAATCCTCAAATATACATTATTTGGATCAACTAATCAGATATCGGTGATCAAAATGGGTGGTTTCTCACCTGAACAACGGTTATACCTTCATAACAACTCATTCAAAAGCTTTAAAAACAGTTCCTTTGGCTAGTTAAGGTTGATAAAGCTCGCGACGCTATGCAAGCTTTAGCAATGACTCTTAAACCAGAATTACCAAGACATGAAACAGCGAAGCGCTATGAGGTGAAAACCGTCCAGAGAACCAGGAAGTGTTTACCTCCGGAGGAACAGCTGAGCTCTGGGAACTGGAAATGTTTGGAAGTGCAATATTTATATTCACTCTTTGTTGTTTTAATATTACAGTGCTTTCATTTGTTGTCATAAACCAGGACTTGATGTGTTTTATTTCACAGTATGTGGCGAGCACGTACGCGACATCCTTTTTTTTTTAATTCACTTGCTTTATCACTCGACACGGTTTAAGGTTTTGTGCTCACCACTTCATCGCTGTTTTTTTTTGTTTTTTTAAACAACATCTCTGAGTTGAACTCGGGGTTGTTGACACGGATCCGCCATACTATAATAACCATATTTCACACGTTTGCCTCATCACACTATTTTATTATCCGCAGTTTGTCTCCATATCTGATTTAAAACTCATGTCGACATTATTTAAATGGGATCTTTTGACTACTTCCTCCGTGGTTACATCAGGAAAGGGCACTGGGTTTTATTTCTTTTTATAAAAAAAACAAATTTCCACTCTCCATGACTTCCAAAAAGAAGTTGTACATATTAATGACTAGGGGAGTGTTTTTAAATTGACAGGATATCTGATTTGTTGTGAATTTCTCTCACCCCATATTGGGGGGAACATTTTTACCTGTAATTGTTTGTACTTTTAATAAAATATTTCCCTTTTTACAACGTCTTCTTTGTGATGCTTTCATTGACACACGTAACTGAGAAAATAATTTATTTAGAAAAAACAACATGGTATGAAATTAGATGCATGTCAGTCGGTGTTGGCAGGAAATGATATGATGCAATATATTAACGTGGAAGCATTTGTGCACAGAAAACTGACCTAAAGTGATAACATATGGCGTAGATCTGCAGGGTTTGTTCTTCCACAGACAGCAGGATACAACATGTTAGAATAAAGATTTCTTACACCAAAAGTGTGCTGAGTTGCTTTTGTCAGTTCCCACTGTGGCACATGCACGGCTGTAAGGCTTCTTGGATACAAAAAAGTTCCTCAGACATCATCATTTCATCTATGGTTCATCGTTAGAGGTTATTAATGTAGACATGTTCACTCCTGATACTAAGCAGAGAGCTTTTCCCTAAATGCCCTTCAGTTAAAATAAATCCACAGCATCTCGGAAGTCTTTCAGTTTGAGTTTTTGTTCAGATTTCTGCTTCAGTTTTTATCAGTCTTTTGCACGTAGACGCTCTAACACTCGATGGTTCTGGATAGCTGCGTTAGTTTGCGCTGGTTGTCGATCACCTTCAGGTTCTGGATGTAGTGCCGGATGTTGCTGGGGCTCCGAAGAGGAAGGGAGTATTCTGAGCCTGGAGGAGGAGGGGAAATCATTTTAGACTTTAAAGAGCTTTAAAGGGTATATCAGTATGTAGTGTCTCTACTTTAAAGAGTCCTCTGCTGCTGATGTTCAGGTGTATATCAGTATGTACTGTCTCTACTTTAAAGAGTCCTCTCCTGCTGATGTTCAGGTGTATATCAGTATGTAGTGTCTCTACTTTAAAGAGTCCTCTCCTGCTGATGTTCAGGTGTATATCAGTATGTAGTGTCTCTACTTTAAAGAGTCCTCTCCTGCTGATGTTCAGGTGTATATCAGTATGTAGTGTCTCTACTTTAAAGAGTCCTCTCCTGCTGATGTTCAGGTGTATATCAGTATGTAGTGTCTCTACTTTAAAGAGTCCTCTCCTGCTGATGTTCAGGTGTATATCATGTTGGTGGATGTAGCTTCTTACATGTAGAAATGCGATTGGAAGGCCCTTCTAGAAACATCCGGTCTGCGAGGCCCCTCTGTGGAGAAGACGGTACTGCAGAGGAGAAATACAGATTATATTTCTTAAATGTCCTGCATGCATCCTTTAGCCAAACACTCCTTTACTTTAACATGCAGTTTCCTGTATTTATATTACATCATTTTTAGTATTGTTGTTGTGTTACAAGTTGGAAATGTAAGATAAGTTAACGTAAAATATTTTGGGTCCAAATTTTGTCTAAAGAACTAGGGCACTTGCACATTATTTTGGGCACTTCCAAATAAACAGTGTGTGAGTGCTTGAGTATGAAATGCCCCTCAATCACAGTTTTTTTTAAGATAGATTTTGCCCATGTTTTTAAACGTTTCTGAAACTGTCTGTCTATTACTTACCGTACGGCTGGCTTCTGCATCCTCGGACAATTTTCACTGTCTTGGCGATCATGCGCTGTGACAATGGGAGGAAAAGGAAACATTTTAAGGTGAATAATATCATGCCAACATTTGTGAGATGTATAATTAATTCAAACGAACCCCCGTTACACAGAATGTTCCAGGCTTACCACTTTCTCAAAGTTGACCAGTTTGTCGACGTAGTTTGGATTTCCCTCATTGATGAACGTCATGTCTGTGCAAAGAGAGGAACAAACATTAATTAAAGGTCTCCTATCATGCTATATTTAGGCATATATTATGGGTCTCAGATATATACAAATATATATAAAACATGTCTATGAAGTGTTTTGCTAAAAATACCAAACAGATCAAGTATTTTAGAAATCCCTCATATCCCTCTGTTTCAGCTGTTAGAGAAACGCTGATTCGGGGTCCTTAGCTTGAAAAAAAATAAGAGAGGAGGCGGAGCTAATGCCTGCTCAGAATTACCCGGCAGATACTCAGCTAAATGCTGCCGTGATTAAACGCCATCATGTTCCAAACCACATCAAGGATTATTGCTGAAACAGTATGAAACTCTTTTTCTCTCTCAGGTTTACCACAAGGTGAGTTCCTTTTTTTATTTCCTGCTTCTTTACACACGCTCTCTCCAGTAGAGGTTAGCTCTGAGTGTTAGCGATGCTTGCTAATGTAAACAAAGACCATATTACGTCCAAAACAGTCGGGCATTGTTTCTGATGGGTCCACATTTTGGCTGATATTCTCATAGTCTTATATACTATGCGTTTGAAAATGAACACACTGCAGACCAACTTGAGGTGAATTTTTCTTCAATGTACGAATTTAAACTTAATTGTATTATTACATTACATTACGTGTCACTTGTTAGACACTTGTTTTATCTGTCATATTGGCAGAAATGTTCATTTCGGTACGATATTTAATAAAAAGCTTTATAGGAAATATAACGGATCCTAAATAAAGGCATGTCGGTATTTCAAAATATGTTTTAAACTGACTCAAATTACGATACTCTCCTATACTTGCAGGGATAGTATTCAACTATTTATCGCTTATTCAAAAGTAGTTTGAGAAAGGTAATTTAAATGAATGTCTTTATTTATGTATAATGTGCCATGACTAAAGGAAAGGGGTGATGTATGTATGTGTATGTGAGCAATAAGGTGTAGATTTGAGTGGACTGTAAACTGAGTCTCCATGTATGTTATATATTTGTGGAATACATAAAAAGTAAGAAAGAAAAAAAAGCAGAACTAAAATCAGCCCAAATACATGATGGATGTCTGTTAGCAACGATTTTTACCAACAACAATGAT